TAAATCAAGACGGACAACATATGGCAGAGTGGAATAATATTAAAATCATTGGAAAAGAAGATAACAACCAGAAGAGAAAAATCAAGGAATCTGCTTGCATTCTTCTGAACCGAGACAATAGCATTGCTTCTTGTTCAGTTGATATAGACAGAACATGGTATTCACTACTAAAATCTGAACATGAAAATGGTAAATTCAAGATTAATTAATGAAAACATCCTGTAACTCATTTGATTGCCAACGTCACCAATTGTCATTGAAAACTGAAATGCTTCAAGACATATTATACGACTTCGCAATTGAAAAAATCTCTTTTCATGTTGAAAACGGGAGCAGAATCGGTCCCGAAACTTCCAAAGATAAGTGAACATTTGATATTTTTTCTATATACCTTTATTTCTCTTCTCCAAAAATTTTTCAACACAAATTGTCACTGACAAGCTAGTGAATTTTTCTTTTAGGCTCTCTGATAGGAAAATTCTTTAAACGCAGTGACATTTTGGGGCAAATCATCTGATCTGTCCTTACTACACGTATATTGAAATAATATTCATATTTTTATTTTATAGAAACGAGAAGAGAAAATCCCAAAAAGTTTGGAATAATGAAAAATATCAGTATTGTATCAGACAGTCAGGCTGCTCTTAAAGCACTGAGCTCCAGCAAGATAAATTCCAAGCTTGTATGCAGCTGTATTGAATCCCTAGAATGCCTGGGTGCTAACAACAGAGTCACTCTGCTGTGGGTGCCTGGACACCAGGGGGTGGAGGGTAACGAGAAAGCCGACATCCTCGCCAAACAGGGAACCGAATCTGTGTTCATAGGACCAGAACCATATTTTGGGGTCACCGCAAGTGCGGCGAAAACAACTATCTCGGACTGGGCGGAGGGAAAAACACTCACGTACTGTTCTGAATTACCAGGATTAACCCATTCGAAGGCGTTCCTGCCTAAACCATCGGAAAAAATAACCAGGCAGATCCTAGCATGGAGCTGGATTAACCTACGAATTCTGACTGGACTGCTTACGGGACACTGTCGTCTAAGATACCACCTGGGATGGATGGGTCTGAACCAACAAACGGACTGTCGATTCTGTTGTGTGGAAGACGAAACGGCTGAACACATATTATGTTCATGCTCTAGCTTAGAAAGACTAAGGTTCGACACATTTGGCTTTACCAATTTAGAACCTATCGATTTCAGACAAATGTCACCCAATTCAACCATGAACTTTGTGAAAAGATGTGGATTGTACGGTGAATTTTAACCTCTAGGGGTGAGCCACAATAGACCCATCTGGGGTCGCAGTGGAGGGGAGGTATTCGCCCCACTCACATGGAACCTAACCTAACCTAACCTAGTATATGATATTTATGGGCGATAAAATAGTCAGCGGTTGGTAAAATGCCACTTCACGTTCACCAAACCGGACGGTAAAGTGCTACTTCACGACAACAAAACCGGAAGATGAAGTGATACTTTACGACCAGTCGTGCATAATAGGTATTTGTACACCAGGTAGTGAAGAATATCATTATTAGCCAGGGACCAAGATCATATCCCGAGGCCTCAGCCGAGAGGTATAAGGCCCCGTGGTAATAATATTTTTTTTTTTTTTTTTTTTTTTTTACTACCAAGGTGTATATTGAATTTTTTTCACCACTAGCAATACATTTCAATCATTATGGTTCTGTGAAGTTGAAATATGAACCTAGTGTCACTATGGAAGTACTTATTTTCAATTCTAATTAAAATCATGCAGCCATGACCATGACAGTATAATGATAAGTCGTTATTGATGAATATACCTACTAGATTCGGGTGTCATTCCTGCGAATGTCACATAGGAACAGTGAATTCTAATTATTTATAACAGACATATGGCTATGTCATTATTGACTAGTGGTTCATAAAATGACAAAAACTACCTTGGTAGTAAAAATAGGCTCTAGGCCTCGAAACGGAGTTATTTTTTCACCATATATAACCTACCATTATTCACTCATTTCCAAGGCGAGAAGTGTGTTTTTTCTAGCAAGGTAGTTTTCGTCTTCTCATGAACTACAAGTCAATAAAGACTGTGTTATATTTAACCTAAATTTACTGTTCTGATGCGAGATTCGCAGAAATGGCACTCAAATCTGGTAGGTATTCATCAATAACGACTTGTCATAATTATGCTGTCATGGTCATTTCCACTAGACTACAATTAGAATTGAAAAAAAGTGCTAGTGACGACGGTGTTATATATTGGCTTATTTTTCGAAACTGGTATAACAAAAGCCATGAACAGTGCACCTATATATCGGGGAAACCGGGAAAAAACTACTCACTTTTTAGGAAACGTGACATTTCGTAATCTGATGACAACAGAGATGGAATGTCAAAACTTTCTCATCGTCACAGAAAAATAGCTATTTTATGTATCAAGGGCGTAAAATATGCGTTCATGGACCGTAGCGTGAAAGTAAGATTTTTAACACGCCAAGGTCTATAAAAGCAAGTTACGGCCGAAATAAATTGAACATTTGCGGACGTTTAGTAACATAGGCGATGGTCACTACATGCAGAATAGAAAAGAGAATATGACATATTCCAAAGGAAGGAAGATATGCTCGAAGTCATCTCCACAAATAATTATTGTTGAAATGCTCACTTACCTAACATTTTTCACTTCTTTTTCCTATATATGGCACTGGCGCGGTATTTGTTATTATGGCAGACCACTAGTCCAAATGAAATCATCGATTCTATAGAATACACAAATGGGTGAGGTTAGGTTCCATGTGAGTGGGGCGAATACCTCCCCTCCACTGCGACCCCAGATGGGTCTATTGTGGCTCACCCCTAGAGGTTACAGGTCACCGTACAATCCACATCTTTTTACAAAGTTCATGGTTGAATTGGGTGAGATTTGTCTGAAATCGATAGGTATTAAATTGGTAAAGCCAAATGTGTCGAACCTTAGTCTTTCTAAGCTAGAGCATGAACATAATATGTGTTCAGCCGTTTCGTCTTCCACACAACAGAACCGACAGTCTGTTTGTTGTTTCAGACCCATCCTTCCCAGGCGGTATTCTAGGATCTGCCTGGTTATTTTTTTTTTCGATGGTTTTGGCAGAAACGCCTTCCAATGGGTTAATTATAGTAATTCAGACCAGTACGTGTGTGTTTTTCCTTCCGCCCAGCCCGAGATAGTTGTTTTCGCCGCACTTGCGGTGACCCCAAAATATGGTTCTGGTCCTATGAACACAGATTCGGTTCCCTGTTTGGCGAGGATGTCGGCTTTCTCGTTACCCTCCACCTGGTTTCCAGGCACCCACATCAAAGTGACTCTGTTGTTAGCACCCAGGCATTCTAGGGATTCAATACAGCTCCATACAAGCTTGGAATTTATCTTGCTGGAGCTCAGTGCTTTAACACAAATGGCTTACTTTGTGCTTGTATTTATATTGAAACTACAATTTGACATTCTTGTGAATTGTTAATTTATGATATCGACTGTGATTTCTTCGTTACCATACAGTTATGGTTTCATCCACTTGAGGACACTTCCTCAGGTTATTTTCCAGTTCAGGTGAAGGTTGAAACTTCATTATTTTATTTTTACGAAGTCATATCTGGATCGGCTTTTAGCACTTAAATGAAATATATTCCTGCTTCCTACTGCAACGATCAATCTTCTTTACCAAAGAATGATAAATAATAAGTGTTGTCCATAGATAAAATAATCCTAAATATTTAACAAAAATGTGACAAGTGATAAAATTGACGACGATATGACATATTTCATAATGAAAGCAGGTGCATCAACATAATTTTCAACTAATCAGAACTGGTGTTCACAGAAATAAATGTTTTTTCTGAATAACTTGAGCTGAGTAGACTGGTACAATCAGATTCAATCAAAATAAAGCCACTTGAGCAATAACACTTCCATAATGATGCTTCTACATTGCAAGAGATTTTTAGGTTGGCAACTTGGAGCGAAAACTCGTCCATTTTGATACCAAAATTACCTCTTGAATTGACGTTTCTACAACTGACACAAAATTGGTATGTTGTTAGGCAGCATATTTAGTTCCTGAGAGCTGAAGTTGAACTTTAGTTCCTAGGAGCTGAAGTTGAACTTTAGCTCCTAGGAACTTGAAAAAATGTACTAGACGTCATCAAGAATAAACAACATTGTTACGGTTGGTTATTTGGGTTGGGACGCATACCTGAATTGTTTCCGATTTCAGCAGATTTGGCATTTCATACCCATGCTGGAGATATAACAACACCTTATTATATTCAAGTATTGGAATTATAAACATCTCAGCTGAGTATATTTGTTTTGATCAGGGAAGCCTTCGATATTCGAATAATTGCTTGATCTCTATTTCATTCGTTATTCTCGGGATAGATAACTTATTTTTGAATAATCACGGCAAGCAATTGTTTTTTGTCTCAACCAACGATATTCTTCACCCTCATTTGATTATCAAGTCAAACACAGTGTAGTATGGAGAGGAATAAATAATCGCTGTTATTATTGTTGATATGCTCACTAACCTAACATTTTCCTCGTCTTGTTCCTATACCTGGCACTGACGCAGTATTTGCCATTAGAGCACCTGGTCCATACACAAATATGTCACTTTGTGGTTGTATTCATATTGAAACTACAATTCGAACATCCTTGAAAGTTGAATAAACCTGCTGTTAATGCAGGTAGAATATTCTCACCTCACGGATTATTTGTCAATATTCGTTGCATATAGTTCACATTTCTATTTGAGTGAATTGTTTCGGTTGCAGAAAAAATAGCATGTTTCATTCGGATCAAAAGTGACTTTGTTTGACTCGCGAATTTTGCTTTCGCTTGGCTTCGCTAAGCGCTCCGCCTCGCAAATGCAATATGCGCTTGTCAAACAGAGTGTCACTTTTGATCCTAATAAAACAATCTACTATTGGTGTTTTGCATGAACGTAGCATGATATTTTAATTTGTCCCAGATCACTACAACATTTCGTTCGATTGCTGCGATCGCGATGGGCGCAATTTGGCGCCCAGATACCTCCATCCACTTTGCATGGCCGTCGGGGTGCCCTCGGATAACGAGTACACCTTCGCCAGCGGTTTGAGTTGCATAAGTTACGCTAGGTCCCTGCCCGCCGTAGGGAACGACTGCCGCTTCGGATGGATCAACCAAGTAAGCGATAATGATAAGCATTAGATAAGAATAGGCGAGAAGAGGGATTTCTGTTGAAAAATACAGGGTTCAACATATATTGAAGATAGGAAAAAACTTCGACTTCTAAAATTTTAGGGTTTGTTCTGAACCTCAAGAAAATCGTACTAGGTGGAACAAATGAATATAGCTGATATAAGAAATGGATACCAAATTCGTTATTTCCAATGGAACAACATATACAGGGTATGTCTCGACGAGCTTACACTATATCTCTATATCGAGAATCAGTCGGGAGAAATCCATGAAAATATGCATGCTTATATTTTAGGATACGATCTCTTCATTTAGAATATTTCCAGCAATACAGTGTTGCCGCTTCTATAAAAAAGTAGCAACAATTTTGTTATTTCAAATAGAATACTCTGTATTTTATTGCATTTTTCGATTCTCCCTGGAGAGCTGATTTCATCGATACATCACACTTAGGGTCTATCGAAAATGATTACAGAGATATAGGGTGTTAAAAATCGAGATTTTTCAACTTTAGGATTTGTTCGTGTCGAAACTATTCATTATCGGCCAAAACGGCTCACATGTCCCTATCTCAACTTTTGATTTACTATTTACTGGTATTTAATTGGAACAGATACAGGGTGATCAGGATTCTGAATCTTGAACCACCCTGTATCTGTTCCGATTAAATATCAATAAATAGTGAATCAAAAATTGAGATAGGGACATGTGAGCCGTTTTGACCTATAATAAATAGTTTCGATACAAAAAAATCCTCAAGTTGAAAAATCTCGATTTTGAACACCCTATATCTCTGTAATGATTTTTGATAGACCCCGAGTGTGATACATTGATGAAATCAGCTCTTTAGGAAGAATCTAAGAATGCGATGAAATACAGGGTGTTCCATTTGAAATATCAATGTTACTACTACTTTCTAGTAGACGCGGCAACACTGCATTGTCTAAAATATTTTAAAAGAAAAGAGCGTATTCTGAAATATAAGCATGCACATTTTCATGGATTTCTCCCGACTGATTCTCGATATAAATATAGTGTAAGCTCGTCGTGACATCTTTCGGAATATTTGAAGATCTTCCTTTTCTGATTTCGAAAATAAATACGTTGTTCATATTCGGTTCAGTCGTTTATGCAATATTCGAAGTCGAACATTCTAGAATTGGTTATAGTTTTATTTCACCAAATCGCAATTGCCATGAAGAATCAACAACACATAATATATGCAGGTTGTCAATTATCAAACTTTCTGTAATATTTTCTTTGCGTATGTGTTGTTGATTCTTCATGGCATCTGCGATATGGTAAAACCAAATTGTAACTAAAAAATTGTTAACCTCGAATATTTTGAAAACGGCTGAACCTAATATCCACAACCTATATACACCGTGTCCCAGCTAATTAAAATGTTCCCCCTGTAAAAAATCAACCGCGCGATCGATTGACTTGAAATTTGGTCACCCAGTATATTTGATAATGCTTACTCGAAATATGCTTTCGAATAAATCGTTGGTAGACAGGGCCACACCGAAGTGCACCTAAACTTTTCAATTTGTATAGGGACACCCAGTATATTATTCCATATTCAAGTAGAGTTTATTATTACAAATTCAACAATGCCAGGTTTGATGGCAAAAAATAAAACGATTCAATACAAAATTTATATGATTAGATTTTATTAATATAAAACGATCGAAATCGAATGAAAAGAAAATAATTAAAACCTCAACTGCTCAATATGTCGTCCATTCTGCTGCAAACATTTCCTAGCTGTTTTCATAACATTCATTGTGACCCTATGTATAGCACGTTGCGATCAATTGGTGCGCATAAATTTGTGATTTTCTTTTCATTTCTCTCATATTTACAATTGGCGACGCATAAACCGGTTGTTCCAAGTAGCCCCACAAATAAAAATCAAGTGGGGTGAGGTCTGGCGACCAAGCTGGCCAGTTGCTATCACCATCGAGACAATTGGTGGTTATTAGATTTTTTCCAAACCGATGGCGAAGATAATCCTTTACGGGTCTGTAGTTATGTGCAGGACACCCATCATTCGATTTCAATCGTGTTATATTAATAAAATGTTATCATATAAATTTTTCATCAGATCGCTATATTTTTTGCTATATCTTCTTAATCGTTTGAAAAAAATCCCATCAAACTCGGCATTGTTGAATTTGTAATAATGAACTCTACTTGAATATAGAATAATATACTGGGTGTCCCTATTCAAATAAGAAAGTTGCAGTGCACTTCGGTGTGACCCTGTGTACCTACGATTCATTCAATTGCATATTGCCAGTGAGCATCATCAAATATACTGGGTGACCAAATTCAATTGCGCGGTTGATTTTCTACAGGGGGGGACATTTCAGCTGGAACACGGTGTATATTTGAAACCGGAGACGAAAGATCTTCAATTTCCTCGAAAAATATATAGAGTGTTCCATCGGAATTAGCGAAGTTGGTACCCATTTCTTATATCAGCGATGTTCATTTGTTTCACATCGTACAATTTTCTGGTGGTTCAGAGCAGACCCTACAACTTTTGTATTCGAAGTTTTTCTCTATCTTCAATGATTAACCCTGAAGAAGATGTTTAAATATACGGAATGACCCTGTATGATGAATCGACGAAACGAGAAAGGATAATAATGCTATATAAATTGAAAGAAAAAAAACTAATGAAAAGCTTGTATTTGAACGCTCTGAAACGAATAAATAAAAATGTTTTTGGATGTATGATAAATTGATATTCATCATACAGGACGTGGAAAGGAATTCTGAATTGAGAAAACATAATCACGAATCTGCGAATGAGGTCTATAAAAATAACAACTTTCCATCGTTCAAGTTTGAACCCCTTGATTGGGTGAAAGTATTGAAATAGTAATTCACGTAACAAGTCTGGAAAATACTGTGTTTGTTTTTTGGACAAGTAGACAAAATTCTAGGCCGAGCCGTAGGCGAGTCCTGGAAGTCTGCGAGTCCAAAAGAATTGTTTTTAGACGTGTTGCGTACACAATTTTTTCTGCAAACATGTAGAATAACGAATCAATGAGACACATCTTCATATTATATTTCTTCGTAGAATACAATTTCTTCTTTATCAATTCTCATTTGTATCAAAAACTGAAATTTGAACAGAATACCTACCTACTAACTGCTACATTGGAAATTTCGTATGGACATTTTCAAACTCACTACCCTAATAGTACACAATGTCCTAGGGACGTCCCTATTTGGTACAATTCACGTCCGAATGTCCCGAACCAAAAATAAGTGTCCTTGGGACGTCCCATTCCGTACATATCATGCAATGTCCGAGCAAGGACGTCCACGGGATGTCCCAGCTGGTACATCATTACAAATGTCCTAGAAATAGCATCCCTTTTAGACGTCCCACGTGGTACATATTGTAGAATGTCCATGCAAGGACGTCCATCGGATTGAACACACACGATAAGATAGATATAATTCAATGTTCGTCGTGGCATATAGCCAGGAAAGTAGTTGTTTTCTATTGAATAAACTGAAAAAGAGTAGATATTCTCATCACTTAGAGAATGCGAATTCTCAATGTATTGCTTCATATAAATATATATCAATTTTTTTATGTCCATAATTTATCTGAGAATATTCCTTTTCAACACTTTCATACCCAATTAGAGGGTTCAAACTTGAACGATGGGAACTGATTTTTATAGACCCCTAATCGCAGATTCGTGATAGAGTCGCAATTCAGAATTTCTTTCCACGCCCTGTATGATGAATGTCAATTTATCATACACCCAAAAGCAACCACTTTTTATGTTGAAAACGGGAGCAGATTCGGTCCCCTAACGTCCAAAGATAAGTGAAAATCTGATATTTTTCTATATACCTGTATTTCTCTTCTCCAAACCTTTTTCAATACAAATCGTCACTGACAAGCTAGTGAATTTTTGTTTCAGGCTCTTCGATAGGATAATTCTTCACAAATCATCAGATTTGTCCTTACTACACGTATATTGAAATAATATTCTTATTTTCATTTTATAGTAACGAGGAGAGAAAATCCCAAAAAATTTGGAATAATGAATGTACCACCTCCTCATTTAACCTACAGGCAGTATTTTTATTTTCATTGAAAATATATTGACCCACTTTGAGTATGAATGATTTCTACGATTTATGTTGTATATGTGATGGTTGAACTGGTTTCAGCTCAATCAAGCAACTCATTTCTTGGACGGCTCTCAAGTATACGGGGTGACGTTCGAAAAGACCTCGGAACTGCGCAGCTACACCGATGGAATGCTAAAAATGCACCAAATCGGCGAGAAACACTTTCTGCCTTCCTCAGAAAATCCTAGTGAAAACTGTCAAGTTGAGGTGAGTTCCCAATGCAGCGTTTTTTATGATACAGTGTGTTACAATTTGCTCCACGCCAACTGTATTCCATATGTGTTTCATAATATATGCGCAAGCCTCCAGGATGTGATATCTCATTCAAAAATATATACAGTGTGTCCCACTTACCATGCTCACCATGGGTATCTTTTTAACGGTGAGAGATACGAGGTCGGTTAAATGATACCAAATGTGGAGTTTGTCAAGGCCAACTATAATGTGAAAAAATATTTTGATGAAATTTATTCGTTTTTGTTTTATACGCAAAAAACAGATTTTGATCATTTTCTTGTCTCCTCCGTAACTTCTCTATTTATGAAAATATTCAAATAGGAATTTCACATTCTCATGGCAGTTTTTCAAAGTGATTTCGCAAAAAATATGAAATTCATACCAACTCTTCTAGAATTAAAGATATCAGCACCGACTTTAGTTTTCCAAATGTAGGTCATAGCTCACTATGACTTAGTTACAAATAACTTTTCTTTCTCTTACTGATGATATGTCGCAGTGATAGTTTCGTGTTGATAACAACGGAGTTATCGTAATTTATACAAAAACAAAAAATTATTTGGAAGCCGCCATACATTATGGAATTTTTGTTGAAATTTAAAAAAATGGCTGCTCCAAGATGGCGGACAAGATTTATAAATTCAAGATGGCGGCTTCCAAATAATTTTTTGTTTTTGTATAAATGACGATAACTCTGTTGTTATCAACACAAAACTATTACTGCGACATATCATCTGTAAGAGAAAGAAAAGTTATTTGTAACTGAGTCATAGTGAGCTATGACCTACATTTGAAAAACTAAAGTTGGTGCTGATATCTCAAATTCTAGAAGAGTTGGTATAAATTTCATATTTTTTTCGAAATCACTTTGAAAAACTGTCATGAGAATGTGAAATTCCTATTTGAATATTTTCATAAATAGAGAAGTTACTGAGGAAAATGATCAAAATCTGTTTTTTGCGTATAAAACAAAAACGAATAGATCTCATCGAAATATTTTTTCACATTATAGTTGGCCTTGACAAACACCACATTTGGTGTCATTTAACCGACCTCGTATCTCTCACCGTTGAAAAGATACCTATGGTGAGCACGGTAAGTGGGAAACACTGTATATTTCTTTTATGTTCTGATTCCCACGAAAAGGGATATCCTGTAATGTTCAAAGGACATCGTGAGAACCAAGGGAAATAAGGTAGGAATTGGTGTTCTTCTCGAATTTCTGGAGGTTATATGCCTCGAGGAACACCTCCCTTGGCAATGTATTCCAGAGCCTCGCTGTTCGTTGGATGAACGAGTCTTTGGAAAGAGATGCTCTGCAGGTCTCCAAAATGACCAGCATCGTCAATGAGAATATCTATAAAATAGAGCCAGATCGCCAACTTTTCTACGATGTTCCAGAGAAGTGAGTGAGTTTATGAGCGAGGCATCACCCACGAGACGAATTGCCCGTTTTTGGACAGAATCCAACAATTTCAGGGTGTGTAGGTGCTGCACTCCAAATATGGGAACAGTATTCCAGGACAGGTCGGATCTGTGCCCTATAAATCATGAGCAGCTGACTGGAAGTGTAATAGCTCCTGGCTCGAAACAGAAAACCAAGTTTTTGGGATGCACTTTTAGCAAATGATCTTACGTGATTTTCCCAAGAAATGTTATGGCTGATAGTAATTCCGAGCATCGAAATGGATGTCTTCGAAAGTATGGTTACTACTGACAAGCTCATGCTGGGCACAGTGAGATCGGCTTTTGTAGAGAAAAGGCATCTACCAAGTTATTGGATCCCCATTCGAGAATTGTTGCCAAGTCCATATTTATGTTGTCAACATTTTTCCCTCGTTTGTCTCTGATTTTCCTGGCTGGTATTGGAGCCCTGGAAGAGAAGGCGGTATGGAGGGTACTATCATCCGCGAAGCTATTTACTGGACAGGAAGTCGCTTCCAACAAATCGTTGATATGGAGTAGAAATAGTGTTGGTGCTTGAATTGATCCTTGCGGAACACCAGCATTTTTGATAAGAGAGTCAGATGAAACTCCGTCGACCACTACATGGAGAGACCTGTTTGAGAGAAAACTAGCTAGCAGAGAACATAGCTGGGGAATCAAGCCATAAGACGGAAGCTTGGCGAGGAGTCCGAGGTGCCAGACTCGATCGAATGCCTTGGAGATGTCAAGTGCCACGGCTAAGGTTTTACCATATTCTGCAATAGATTGCTGCCAGACGTAAGCGAGCAGGTCACCAGTTGATCTCTGATGGCGGAATTCATATTGCCTATCGTTGATAATACCTGAATGTTCCAAGTATTTCATGAGCTTTATGTCGATAGCTTCCTCCATGATCTTTGAAAAAAGTACCTATTAACTCTGAAGCCTTCAAGAATCACATACTTGTTCCACAGCCGGAGATCCAAGAGTCATCCAGCATCCGCGTCTCAGATGAAGAACGCGGCGTGAAGCACACGATTTGAGTACTAGAACACAATATGGTCAGGTCGACGAAAATATTCTTATTGGTGTACAAAAGTCATTTTCAATGTCTCCTTGACTTTCAGATGAAGAACGAATTGATTCAGGACGTTGAATTGAAGTATAACTCAGAACGTCTGAATCGTGTAATTTCAAAGTTATATGACGCCAATAAACATTATATCGACGAACAAAGAACGTCAGCTCATGAACTGAAGACATTTACAATTTTTCTTCGTTTTTCAGATGAAAAACGCGGCTTGCTTCACAGCTGGGCATGCGAGACAACCAGCATCCTCGTCTCACGGTGATGCACACGTTCAATAACATCAAATTAACTTGATATTCAAGGCATCTAATCGAAATCTCATTTAGTACGTCAAAATCACATCATTTCAGGGTCATATGATATTGATGAACATTATATTGTCGTACAAAAGACGTTAGCTCATGTACTGGGTTCAGCTTCAATTTTCTTCGACTTTCAGCTCGTGAACTGGGTTCAGCCTCAATTTTTCCTTGACGTTCAGATGAAGAACGCGGCGTGATGCACACGATTTGAGTACTAGAACACAATAAGGTCACGTCGACGAACATATTCATATTGATGTGCAGAAGTCATTTTCAATGTCTCCTTGACGAGGCTTGCTTCGCAATAATATCAAATTGATTCAGGACGTTGAATTGAAGTATCATTCAGAACGTCTGAATCGCGTAATTTCAAGGTTATATGACGCCAATGAACATTATATTGACGAACAAAGAACTTCAGTTCATGAACTGAAGACATTTACAATTTTTCTTAGTTTTTCAGATGAAAAACGCGGCTTGCTTCACAGCTGGAGATCTGTGATGCACACGATTTGGGTGGGAGAACATAATAATGACCTATCAATAACATCAAATTCACTTGATATTCGGGACATCAAATTGAAATCTCATTTATCACGTCAAAATCACATCATTTCAGGGTCATATAACATATATCATGAACATATATTGTCTTCAGTGGCGGCTCCTCAGAGTAGGCAACGGAGGCTGAGCCTCCTCAGAGATTCTCCTCAAACTAATATTATCAATACTTTCTCATTAGAAGGACACCAAAATACATGGATTTTGATTTCATTTCCTGTTTTTAGTTAGATATTTCCGAATTGGCAACAGTGCTTGCCCACGCATCATACGTTGAAGTCTGCAAATCACGCGTAAAATATTCAACTTGGCAACATCTATAGGAGGCTAGACTCCGTCACATATCACAACCTACGCGCGCAATGCAAATGCCCGAATACGCCCGAATAGCACGTGTTTGTCGTGTCGCTTCGCGAATTGAGGACAAACGCGAGTGCATTGTTTATGTTCATGTTAGGTTAATGGTTTATAGGGACTCTATAAATTTCTATAAAATGAGTGTTTTAAACGATTGCGATTTAGTGGAATACTTTTTGGTGAACCCATTCAATGCTTTGTCTTATGAAGATGAATTGATTTTGAGAAACAAACGTCCGACACCGGAATTAAAAAATCTGATTGTAACAGGTAACAAACAAGATCATCCGAAATATTATTCCCATAAAATACTTGAAATGTATTTACTTTTGCCTCATTTATTCAAATTTGCAATATTTAATTTCTATTTGGGGGAGTACAAATATTTCACGTTTGAAACCACTAATGAAATTACAAAACAAATCAATTAAGTGCATTTTTCATCTACATTTTCTAGAACCAACGATAAATTTATACAAACCAAGACATTTTCTGAACCTGATTTCGTTATATAAACTTAAAATATGTTGCTTTATTCATTTTGCCAGGAATAAGTTGAAAATATCAAATTTAGCTTTCAATGAAGTCAATACAGTCCATAATTATGGGACTAGACAATTGAATTACTTGATAGCAAATACATTCAAGTCAAACATTGGCAAACAATCTGTTTTTCACAATGGAATAATTTTATACAATTCATTACCGAATGAGTTAAAAAATATACATGATGCAAGAAGGTTTAAAATCAATCTTAAAAAATACTTGCTCAGGACAATTTGAATGAAAAATATGTGGCATGATTTGATTACTTAGGAATGAAATATAACTTTAATCTTATAAGACACAATATTAATTCGTTTCCACTGAGTGGAATTCATTATAGTTAACCCTTTATTATTATTTTTTTATATGTATTTATGTATCCCTATCATAAACAAAAATGTTTCTTGGGGTAATAAAGACAATCAATCAATCAATCAATTCTGATAATTATAAAAAATATATCTGTTTGACGGGATCTGAGGTAAGGAATAAGCTATTTTGTTGGTACTGCGTATTATTTTCAACCGATAAGTCATCATGTTGGGTGCGATTAGGATATAATGATTCGAAAAATTTGGCACGCGGATTGGATAGACACTGCAAATCACAGGAACACATCTCTCCAAGTATTGAGTTCAGGTTAACTGGTATTTGGGTGAGTAGAGAGTTGTTTTTCACAATAAATCTCATATTATTCAGCCTCCTCTGTCATGAAAGTCACGAGCCGCCACTGATTGTCTTACAATACAAAAACGTCAGCTCATGTACAAGGTTCAGCTCTAATTTTTCTTCGACTTTCAGCTCGTGAACTGGGTTCAGCCTTATTTTTTCTTTGACGTTCAGATGATAAGAACGCAGCTTATCGTGATGCACACGATAAGGGCACGTCGACGAACATATATTGACGTGCAGAAGACGTCAGTTTCGATTTTTCCTTGACTTTCAGACGAAGAATGCGGCTTGCTTCACATCCAGAGATCCGAAAGTCAACCATCAGCATCCGCGTCTCACGGTATTGCACATGATTTGGGTGCAAGAAAACAATAATGACCTATCAATAACATCAATTTAACTTGATATTCAGGGCGTCAAATTGAAATCTCATTTAGTACGTCAAAATCACATCATTCCAGAGTCATATGACGTCAATGAACATATATTGTCGTACAAAAGACGTCAGCTTATGTACTGGGTTCAGCTTCAATTTCCTTCGACTTTCAGCTCGTGAACTGAGTTCAGCTTCAATTTTTCTTTGACGTTCAGATGGAGATCGCGACTTTCGGTGATGCACACGATTTGAGTGCGAGAACACAATAACGTCACGATGACGAACATATATTGACGTGCAGAAGACGTCAGTTTCAATTTTTCTTTGATTTTCAGACAAAAAACGCGGCTTGCTTCACAGCTGGAGATCCGAGAGTCAACCAGCATCCGCGTCTCACGGTGATGCACACGATTTGGGCGCGAGAACACAACAGGATAGCGGAAAAGTTGAGGGAAATGAACGAGCACTGGGATGACGAGAAGCTGTTCCAGGAGACCAGAAGGATCGTTGTTGCCGAGATGCAGCACATTACTTACAACGATTGGGTGCCTAAGATTTTGGGTGAGCTATCATCTTGCCAAACAAATTTGTATTTTTTGTGGAGTCACACTGTTTCTCTGTTGCCCTACTATAGAGAGAACTTCAGAAAGTAGGGAAAGAAGTAGCAGATTCTAGCTCGAGGTTGTGTTGTGTCCCGATGCGTAGCGGAGAAAGGCGAAAAACCGTGAGATAAAATCTGATATTTTCCCCGTGTATAATACACTATTACCTACGGCCACTTTAGAAAGTAGGCAAGAACACACGTGATACTGCCTCAGTAAGTAGCTCTTTACGCACAGTAAGCACATCCATCGCACAGTTTTCGTTTATTCCGCCAGTATAGGTATGTAATGATCGCGTAATCGCCGTCAACAGCGAATGACATAACTGTCAAGAACTATATTTCAGACTGTTTATCCAAACTTTTCTTGATGTACTACTGATGGCAGTAGGTAAAGTATTGTTACGTTATTCGGGTGCAGAAGCGAACTATTTATTTTCGAATTGATTTATTTCAATTAAAGAAACACTAATTTATATCGAACTTATAACTAATATTTATGTAAAACGATTTATATCACGCTTTATATAACTGTCTCTCTGTCACTCGCTTCTCGACTGCCTGACGGCAGTTGTCCGGCCGTTTTTATATGAGATTCCTTGGTAGGCTTTGGTTCGAGAACGTTCTCGAATGATCATTTTTGTTCTAGAAGCCTCTTAGAACAATATCTCTCTCTCTAATTTTTCCATTGATTGTTTCCAGAACATTCCAGAATCTTCTGTCACGTTATTTGTCACCGCGGCATATATTGAGTGTTCGGAAATATGCTGGTGCATGTAGGAATCATTGGGAGGTTGGAGAACGATCTGGGATGCGTGTTACAGGATGATTGTTGTACTCCTGTCATCCTGCTGATGTTTCTAGAGCCCCTTTAAGGGGAATATCATTACAGTATAGTACGTAATGCGTGTTGTAAAGCAATTCATTTCTTGATGAGCCAATTTTTCCCTTGTGATAATCAAATATTGTTAAATATTTATTGACCTATGTACATTTGTTCTTTATTCTTACTACAAGGTTCACTTCGTGAGGTTTTTCCCAGTTTATTCAAAATACATATCTGTATGTTCCAATGTATATTTTGTGAACGTTTTATAATGAACTTATATTATTAATATTATTATTATTAATTACGAACTCATGGAATTACTTTTCCATAACTTTTCCATTCGTGCGTAATATGCTTCTTACAACACTTATTACGTAATATACTAATTTGGAGTTTTTAACAGGACTTACACTTGCGTTGCAGACATTTTTTTTCTGGCATCTTTCTCGTTCTCTTGAAGTAATCAAATTATCTGTAAGTCTAATTCTGTGATCTGATTTTCAATAATTGCGATCTTCCTGGTTGTTTAGTAATTTAAGTAACTGCGAAGTGGAATAAAAGATGAAAGATACTTGCAGTTTTTTCTCGGAGCCGATGTTATTGGCTTATTTTTTGGAACTAGCACAACAGAAGCCATCAACAGTGTGAACAAGGTGTTTTTTAAATTAGTGCACATATTCAGCAAATCAATATGATACAGTCAAAGGAACATTCCCATGATATCAGATTTTTTTATCGAAGAATGTCATCCCAAACATTGAACAAAATACGAGACAAAAATCAAGTACGCTACTTTTAAACAATTTGAATGATTGAACTCCGCGTGATTGTGCCTACCGCATGGAAATTTGAACAGGGGTGAAGTCAAATTTGCTATAATATAGAACTTTTGGTTGAAAAAGGGGTCTAACCTCAAATTTCATTTTGATCCCTATATGTTTTTCATTAGTGTCATTCGATAGTACACGTCGAGCTTTCTCAGTGTTTGAAATATTTGCACTTATTTCAATGCCACTCTGTATATATGTCCGGAAAAAAGTACTATATTTTCGAGGCTCATTGGTCAATTCAAAATAACTATGTTTTGCCATTACCAATTTTCTATAGACTTCCTCCAGACATCCCAATACCAAGCGTTTCAGAAATTATTGGTTATAATTGCAGAAGTGCATGAAAATTATCGAATATAATTTTGCAACAAAGCGTGTTTTCTAAAAATTGCAATTTTTTTATATTCTGGCGAAAGAGCCCGAATCAAGGCTGTTGCTATGTGGGAGTACCTACCTTGTATATGTATTTTGGGAGCTTTTGAATCATGTTTAATGCTGATGATGGATTTTCGTAGGTGAGAAGAAATTACAGAATGCTGGGAAAACTTATCAAGAAAGTGTTGACCCCACCGTCAGTAATAGTTTCGCCACAGCTGCCATCCGGTCTCTGCATTCTATGTTCAGCGATCATTTCAGGTAGGTACCAATTTCCATCTTTAAACCTATACCCTGAAATCTATGAAGTTTTTCTGGAATATTTTGGTTACTTTATTTCTGGTAAAGTGTTACAAATTCCAACGAAATTATCGAGGAAGTCATGACAATCGAAAAACTCAGTTATGTGTGAAGGTTTTCCTTAATCAATGATTTTGTTATCCTATTTTCAAATTTCCATAAAAAAAGTCACAATCTGTATAACTCTGCTATAACTTCGATTTGTGGTTTCAGTGATTGAAAACATTCAGATAGTAAAATTGAAAGCATTTCAGTGTGATTGAAGAATGGAAAACAAAATGAAATAATTTCACAAATTTCAAATATTCCATAAAAACAATTATTACATCAAAAGAAAACAGCTTTTTGAGTGAAAAAAAAAATGAACTCACCTAAATAAAGAGGCAGGTATTCTATTGTGTTTCAGATTATTAGATGAAGATCGTAATAACGCCGATTCACCCTCCATAAATTACAGAGGACATTTCAACAATCCCGGAATAATTCTAAAAGTTGATGTTTTTGATTCTCTGATCAGAGGACTTGCAAGTGAAAGCATCGGAAATGTTGATGCCAGATCTCAAAAGGTAATGAATGGTCAACGGCTCATATAAAAATGATAATAATGATAATAATGTTTGATCGTTTGACATATTATACATTTGGCAATCTGCATATGTTTTATCAAATCCCCTTACTTGAGTCATCTAACTTTTAAACCTTTTCATATTTTTCTCGTGAAAACTCGGAAAAGTAGCCTTTTTTTGAACGATATTTCCGTATTCTTCTAGACTCCGCTCAGTTATTGATTATCAATGAGATTCAACTCATAAGTGATAAATATTGTTTTCTATCAAACTATAATATAATCAAATTTATCTGAAAACAAGAAACCTCTGGGGAAGATCAGAGCTAGTGATTCACACAAGACCAACGAGACGAGACTTTCATCAAGTCTCGTCTCGTCTCGCCGATGAAATATGAAGTCTTGTCTCGAGTCTCGTCTCGCAGCCTAGAGTCTCGTCTTGTCTCGCGTCTCGTACGAGAGTCTCGCAAAAGTATCGCAATTTCGTCATGCATAATCTTGTTTCAGTCTAGTACGGGATATTTACCTTCACCTACTTTTTTGGTATGATGTAGAAGTAGGAAGAGAAAATTACAACAAAAATAACATCATTTATCGAAAAGTAAGTACCTAATACGTACATACTTACATCATACATCTAAACAAGAAAAAAAACAGCATTATAATATATATTCGAAAGTTATAAAAATAAAATGAAAAGTAACACGTACATTCTGAATCTAAATAAATAAACAAAACAAAAACTTTAATCCAACATTATTTTACTCATTTATATAAGAAATAGGTATCTTAGTAAAAAACCTTCATCAGTAAGATCAGCCTTCACGATCGCAAATGCTTTTGTTTCTGCAGCACGTGAGAATAATCTTTCCGCCGGGACTGAAGTAGCCGGTATGCGATTTTACTAAATATACTGTACGCTACCACATACCACGCCCACCGTTATATCTCATCTTCAAAGTAGTTTACTTAGGCAAAACTCAGAGACTATTTATCCTCAACGAACTAACCTATTCCTGATTGCAATATTTTTGAGGAAGGAAAACCGAATGGAGTGTAGAAACACATTGATTAATGATATATTTCAAAAGTTGAGTTCTTCAACAAAATTGAATAAAATGAGACTGTTTATCCTAAACGCACTAACCTATTTGACTTCAAATATTTTATGAAAAAGGAAACCCATATAGCACGAGTACGTCCCCGACACGTACTGAGAATGTCCGGCCAAGACGTTTCGTACGTACTGGGGACGTCCAGATTTGGTACGGTCGACGTTCAGGTACGTACTGGGGACGTCCAGATTCCGCGCGTTTGTACATCCTCAGTACGTCCATTCAGGACCATGGATACATGATTCAACGTAGATCCGCCTCTTTTCACTTAGATAGTCGAAAAAGAGATTTATATAGGGTAGAAAGTCCTATTTTGAATTAAATTTTTTTTTCTACAAACGTCAAAAATGACAAGGTTCGCGCATTGATAATAAATTGCGAAGTGACACTTTTTTTCAGTTTCCTACGTTACCATGATATCTAGCACAAAACAATGCGCGAAGTAAAACAGTGCGCGAAGTACCTACTTCGCGCATTGTAATTTAAAATATATGAGATATTTATATTTCAACTTCATGGTCCTCAATCAAGAAAACATCCACGAACTCATTTATTTCTGAATGTTCAACAATAACTTTGTTCTATCTCTTGGAGCGCACGAAAGGAAATTCCTATTATGTTCGTGAAACATCGTGCGTACCTAGGGAGGATAGGGGGAGGCCTTTTAAGCCAGTTCAACACAATTTTTTATATCAAGCTGAGCATATTTTCACTTTGGATCTATATTTTTTGACGTTTGTAGAAAAAATGTTGTTTGCAGCTCGAGCGCGAAATACTTTGGTCATCTCGACTATTTTTTTACTCGGCTACGCCTCGTTAAAAAAATCAGATCTCGATCACCAAAGTAGCATTTCGCGCTCTAGATACAAAAATAACTATTTAAAAAAACGCTTCTCCCGGGGATCGATCCCACGACCTTTAGATCAGCAGGCAGATGCTTAACCTATTACTCTGTAGAACCCTTGTTGAGTATACAACAAGCAATATTATGTGCGATTGCCGATTGACTCATCACATCGATACTTTTAAAGAATTAGATAATCACGGCAGAGAATACCTAAATAGATGTTCTGTGATCTGGTGGGGCCAGTAAATAATGAATTTATTGTGAGCATTGTATTATGTTTATGTTTGCAAGGTTCCTATATGAATAGATTTCAGAGATCGAGGGTAGAAATTATATAATGCAATGATTTCGATTATCATCAAACAATTTTATTCAATCCTGTAAACAAAAAGTCGATAACGTCCAGAGTTGGACGTAAACAGTACATCGGAATCGTACGTATCCAGTACGTCCAGAAATGGACGTTTTCAGTACGTCTTGAAAAGCTCCCGGACGTTCAGACCTGAATGGGTCCTAAACTGGATGTCCCCAGGACGTCGAGTGCTATATATATGGGAAACCAGAATGAAGTAAAAAACCATTGATGAAAAAAAAAGTTGCAAAAAAAAAGTTCAAGTTCACAGCGATTCGAACCATGAACCTCCAAACTGAAAGTCGACAGCGCTAACCAGTAGACCATTTGGGTGTATGAAATTTCTGCGTACAAGAGAGCTTCAGTCGAATTCGTGTCAAAATCATAAAAAGTGTATTCTTGCGTTGGAGCTTGGAGCACAGTATATTTAGTGCGATGTGCTGACTCCGAGTATATCGGTAATGTTTGGAGATATGACGTATTATGGTGGGCGTGGTTTGTGCTAGCGTGCAGTATATTTAGTAAAGTCGCAGCCGGTATACCGCGGTATACTTAGGTATTGATGAATGAAATGTTTTGTCTATCTGTGCTAAAAATAGTCTGAATTGTTTCTAAATATGTTGTATTATGAATGAAATTCTCAAGTCTTCAGTCGGCACGCAGAAATATTTACCTGCGACTCTCGCACGAGACACGAGAAGTCTTGCACGAGACTCGAGACGAGACCAAGTCTCGTCCCGTCTTGCCCGAGTCTCGTCTCGAGTCTTCTCTCGAAAACGAGACGAGACCATGCGAGACATTTGAAAAAGAGACTCTCGCGGGCACCACTAATCAGAGCATACCAATTAATTATTAAAGTGTATACGTTAATGAAACCGACTACTGGGTTTTTTGCAAGTAGAGGGTGTACTTTGATACAATTTGCCTGGGTCATATCAAGAAACGAAATCTGCATATTTATCGAACTATACTGTGCTTCTCAAAAGGCCCTCCTCCCCTCTCATCATTGGAACGATTATACATAAATAAGTGAAATTCAGAAACCTAATATTCAAGGCCCTAAACTTTCCTACTTGTGATGATAGATGACGAAATTGTCAAAGATAACGTCACAAGGCCATTGTGACCAATAATTTTAATTGGAAATCCCTACGGCAAGCGACACCTCCTTTAATCGAAGAAACCAATTCAATGGATACTAATTTTGTTTTGTTCATGGAAGTATTGGCAACTAGCTTTCAAAAAACGCAAAGCTGTGATGAATTGAATCGGTTAATACTAAAATTCAAAATTCAAGCTCCGCCTCTCGATAGTTGTCAAACTGACTGACGTTTTTTTTAGTCTCCCTAACTACTCGACTTTTTGTAATTGTCCAAGTTTTTGAAGTTGTGTAGGGGAGGGGAGTTTCCAAGAGCACTGTACTTATAATGTCAGGTATTTTCAGCTTCCCAATGAATCATTCACCGATGAAAATTTCGGCTACGATACGCTAACTCTGGATATCCAGAGAAGTAGAGACCATGGTCTGCCGAGCTACAACGCGTATAGAAAACATTGTGGACTCAAAATGGCGAGCAGTATGCAGAATTTCGCAGATCATATGACTAGTGCAGTAAGTTCATGTGACTAATAAATCGAAAATTTTTTTTGTACTTACGTATTTTTGTCTGGAAACACGAATTTGACAATGAAAATGTGAACTAATCACTATCTATCGAGATATTTCGAAAAAAAGTTCGAATTTTCGACTTCGTTTTCCCCTTGTATTGGATGCATTGTTCCTTCTTTTCATTAAATATGGATAAATCACAAGAAAATCATATGTCTAGTTGACTCAATAATAGAAAAAAATGTTTCTTACATTGTGATATAAATGAATTGTCCAATGATGAAAAAAGAAGGGCGAATTGTTTTAAATGCAATCCAGAAGACAGGCGGAAAAGAAGGTGAAATTTGTGACTTTATAGTGAAATATCTTAATAAATAATGGTTTGTTCACATTTTCATTATCAAATTCGTGTTTTTCTGACAAAAATACGTAAGTACCAAACAAAATTTTCGAAAAAAAAACGATCGCATGCTAAATGCAGTTTTACCGTCGAATCTAAATGACTATAAGTACCTTCTCTAGGAATCAGGTGTCAACCAGTTTATTAGACAAGTCACAAATTCTAGTATATCAGATGTATCAAAATGAGATTGACTATAGATAAATAATTGTACCTATGAGGAGGAGAGTTGAAGTATTTATTTTTCCCTATCTGGTCAGTTCCGGTTCCACCGGAAATAGCTTCGATTTGAAATTTTCTTCAAAACACTTCTTCACATATCATTTTCTTACGACCACCTATGAAAACAGCACAAAACACATTGATTAGAAAGTGACTCGTTTCACTATGACAACATATAACAGTTAGAAAGTTCGAAAGTAAAACTCACATGGGTGGAAATATTCGAAAATCGCACAGTAACAGGGTCTATAGAATATGATATACCAAATGAATGATTATTATGCTGAATTATGGTAAGTTAAGTTATGGTCAAGTTAATGGAAAGTTAGTGTCGATTTAACATGAGTTTTTGTCGTTGATGTTGACGTAATGTTAAGTTGATGAAAAGTTGAAATCAAGTTAATTTCAATTGAAAGTTGAATTAATGTCAATGTATTCGCAATTAAGTGATTAATGTGAAGTTAATGTCAATTTGATATTGAATCGACGAATCGACGTGGATAATAGGTGGCAATTGGTCGTCGTCAAGATTCGATTTTGTTTTATTTCGAAAAAATTACTCCATGAAATGCATATCCAGGACTTATGATTAACGCTTATCAAAATAAAATAGGTACCTACCTACCTTATTGGTAGAGGGGATTCACGTATACTCGACATGGATAAAACTATAAGTGGTGAAATATGTTGAACAAATATATTAATAAAAAACAGCCTGAAAGAGATAACTTGGTAACAGATATGGAAGATTCAAGAATTTATTATATGTATACAAATACGGTTATACCAGGTGCCTTCATGTTTCAAATTGGCGCGCCACGTCAAGACATACAGATGCTTATGATTGGTCAATTCGTGCTCCGTGGCTTCGTGTGTCTTCATTTCGCACAATGCCACCGCTACCCCTATCGGACATCGTCGATCGTAGCACAGTTTGTCGTAATCATGCGCATGCGTAATCCAGTTCATCGAATGTTGTAATGGCGGATTCGTGATTTTGGGTCATGGAAAACAAGGATACTATGGAAAAGTGGGGTCCAGCAAAATATATTGCAGTTCGCTGGTTATTTTATCAATTCCAGGCAATAGGAATGTTTGTGGGAATACAATATTCCGAGGAAAGGCATTGCTCTCGTTCAGTAGAAGTAGTTGACGTCATAACGCCTCGTAATGCTGCGAAGTGTAGTATGGCCGCCTTTCAAACAGCAAGACTTTTTCAACAGGTCAATAATTGAGAAAGCGAAATCTACAAATGAAACTTGGAAGGTGTTTGATGTAGAAAGGTCGTTATTTGAAGAAGGTGATCTATAAATACCTTAAATCGTAGGTACAAGAATAATTTGAGGTTATTAGGTTGAGATTCCTTTGAAACTTGACATCTTCGTTTATGTCTATATACTATGGAATATAGTGGATTTTATGCTTATTAGTTTTATTCAGATGAAGAATATACCTATGTATAATTATGTAAACAAATAATAAATATCCACAACTATTGTAACTAGATCATTTGAACTGTTTTGCCAACCAACAAGGATTAGGATCATGAGAAAGTGATTTAGAGTTTCACAGTTTCTTGGTGATGTCAAAACCTGGACCTACTTGGTAACTATTCGACGTGTAGAGGACGTCGCTAGCTGAAGTCGTTACGACGACGCTAAATGACGTCGTTACGACGTCGATGAATGACGTCGTTTCGCTGTGACATATTGAGGTCACATTTACGTCTCTTTCACGTCGATAACTTGGTCATTTCGACGTAATTGGTGACGCATATATGACGTGAAATTGACGTGTGTGTGCTAGCTGGGTTGTCAACAGACTCGTTGACAGGCGGTTGTTGAAATTTACAGTTTCAGGAGCAAATCTTGAAATTTTCAGTATTGTTGACTGAAAACAGAACGATTTTGGGTAGTATTTTGATGAAAGAACATTAAAAAAAACGAAACTTGTTATTATACCTAACCCAACCAATCTGAGATCATTTTGCGGATATATTTCTGTCACAAATAATCATAAACAAGCACGTAATAATCGAAATTTTTTCTCATCGTAAATCGTAAAACTGCATTATCAATATTTCAAATAATAAAAATCCGAGGGTTAAGTACATGGGGCATTGCGAGGTGATGCGAGGCACTGTGGGGTATTGTCGGGCAATGCAAGGCATTGTGTGGCATTGCGAGGCATTGCGAGGCATTGTTAGGCGATGCGAGGAATTGAAGGGACACTGAAAGGGCAATATGGTGCAATGTTTGGGCTAGTTGCGCGAGTATCCGATTCTGTTGTTCGAAGTGATGCCTCCGCCTCCATTTTTATGTAGAATATGTTCCAGGGCTGGCTTCATATGGTCTCGCATAAGTTTTTTTTATATCGCTACTTCTGAGTTGGGAATTTCCAACAACTCCCCAGAAGTCGAAACTGGTGTGAGGTTAGGAAGAGCGGGTTCTACATCTTATATCAGATTTCGAACCACTTTTTGTTTCGGACTTTATTCACTCGCTCAGCCTAGTCAGCTTTTCCACTTCATTTTCTATAGCTATTCAAATTCGTTTAACAAAATTCTCATATCAAATTCGTGAATTTTGAAGAATATCAGAAAAAAATTGTTTTTACTCTTACAATATTCCTATCGAGATTTTACAGATTTTTGTGTTTTTTTGTTCATTTCGTGAGTATTTTTTCCATAAAAAAATCACTTTCAGAAATGAAATCAGTGAAACATATAGGGGGAAATATTGATTCGTCTGCTCGTTCGTCTGATAATACCTAATTCTTAGTTGTATTTGCGAATACGCGTTCATTGTTAATGTTTCATTGATATATACAATATATGTTTACTAAATTTGACTGCTTGGTATGTGTGATGGTTTTTAGAGAAAACCTGAACAACTCTTCATTGTTTTTAGTTGAATTAGATAATTTATTATGATAATAGATTCAAAAGAAAACTATATAGGAGACATAAGGAAGTGTTCTACCCTTTTCGTCTCTTTTCAACAAATGCAATGGAAAGAAAAAGGTGTATTCGTATTGAGCGTTGTTGGGCATACAAGGGCACTGTTAGGCAATACGGGGCATTGTCGAGTATTATCAGGCATTGCTGAGTAAAAAAGAAGCATTGCGGGGCAGTTTCGGTAGATTAGGGCATTCATTGCTCCTTGGTGTATAAAAAATGCCTAAGTACTTACCCCTCGGGAAAATCAATATTTATTCGAAGCTCAATATACAGGGGACAACACAAGTGTTCTTTTTAAAGGACATCATGTATATCTGGCTCAATTAATCAGTCTCTGTATATCTTGTCCTAAAATTGTTCTTATCCGTCATTCGGTTGCCCCCTTACGGGCAACCCTGACGCTAACGCGATAGAACTAATGCTTCAATTCTGAATCTCTCTTTCGCTTTCAAAATTATTTCATTTTTATCTGTTCCATAAAAAAAATACGTTCCTCGTCTTTGCTCTTTTGAGTTCATCTTTATAATTTATATTTGTGTTATCCTCGCCTTCATAGAAATAAACTTTCGTTTCTAACTCAATTTCGTCGAACTGTTCTCTTATTTCTGCAACAAATGTCAAGAGAGACGTCATCAGTTCCACTCCAAATGATACGTCCAGGTCCATGGTTTTTATCAAAGTAATACCTACATGGCCACGCTGAGAGAAAGATTATTTTCGCAGAATAATTAACAATTTTTTTTCTGTGACGGGAAAAAAGTTTGGCATTCCATCTCTGTTGACAGGTTATAAAATGTCACTTTTCATAAATTACTTTTTTCCCGTGGGAAAAAAGTGAGTACTTTTTCCCGGATATATATCACATATTATACAGAGTGGGCCTTTGAAAACGAAACAGAGGCTCTGTAGGTCGCCGAAACCGGATTATGAAAAAAATCTGAAACACGCCAAACAACATTTTCGAGGGGACATTGTGCTAAAATATTTTCAGCTCTGCGGCGTTGCCGCTTCTAATGAAAAGAAGCAACAACTTTGTTATTTCAAATGGAACACCTTGTATTTTATTGCATTTTTAGATTCTCCCCCAAGAGCTGATTTCATCAATGCATCACACTTGGGGTCTAGCTGTAATGGTTTCAGGGATATAAAGTGTTCAAAATCGAGATTTTTCAACTTTAGCATTTTTTTGTGTCGAAACTATTCATTATTGGTCAAAACGGCTCTCATGTCCCTATCTCAACTTGTGATTTACTATCTACTAACATTTAATTGGAACAGATACAGGGTGATCAGAATTCTGAATCTTGAACCACCCTGTATTTGTTTCAAATAAATGTCAGTAGATAGTGAATCACAAGTCGAGATAGGGACATAAGCGCCGTTTTGACCAATGATGAATAGTTTCGACACAAAAAAATGCTAAAGCTTGAAAAATCTCGATTTTGAACACTTTATATCCCTGAAACCATTACAGCTAGACCCCAAGTGTGATGCATTGATGAAATCAGCTCTTCGGGGAGAATCTAAAAATGCAATAAAATACAAGGTGTTCCATTTGAAATAACAAAGTTGTTGCTTGTTTTCATTAGAAGCGGCAACGCCGCAGGGCTGAAAATATTTTAGAACGATGTCCCCCTCGAAAATGTAGTTGACGTGTTTCAGATTGTTTTCATAATCCGGTTTTGGCAACCAACAGAGCCTCTGTTTCGTTTTCAAAGGCCCACTCTGTATATACTCTGTTAATGGCTTTTGTTGTGCTATAGTTCCGAAAAATGAGTCAATAATACCGTCTCCGAGAAAGAACTGCGAGTCCTTTTATCTTCCATTCCACTTCGCGGTTTCGTATATTACTAACTAAACAACTACTGAATTCGCAATTTTTTGAAATCAGATCACAAAATTGAACTGACAGAAGTGACATCAGATATTTGATTACTTCAAAAGAATGATAAAGATGCCTATAAAACGCAGGTGTCCCTACTGTTAAAAACTTGAAATTTCACGTCGATAATTTTCAGATTTCGAAATAATGTAATATCTTCTCACGGTTTTTTGTCTCCCTCCGCTACGCGTCGGGAGACAACACAACCTGGAGCTAAAATCTACTACTTTTTTCCCTTGTATAATAAATAACTATTTATTTCAAAACTTCAAAAAAAATTTTTCTTAGAATTCTCGATGGCCCGGGCCCATGGGCGCCCGCCCCAAGCGCCCAGCGCATAAACCGGCACTGATTCAAACCCTCTTTTTCCAGAATGCAGAACTACTAGCGAATTTGTATGATAGTCCTGACGATGTGGATCTGATCGTAGGCGGCCTAATGGAAACGCCGCAGCCAGGTTCTCTGGTTGGTCCGACGTTCGCTTGCTTGATAACGGACCAATTGCTCCGTACCAGGCAAGGCGACAGATTTTTCTACACCAACCAAAATCAACCTAAACCGTTCAGTGAGTATATTGTCACGATAAAATAGATTAATATTAATTAATAACCATGTCACGATAAAATGGGTGATTCCACCATGTTACGATGAAATAGAGATGGTTAATCCATCCATATCGATTTATAAGGGGTAATGCTTGGCTTAATAGTTTGCGAGAGGTATTATTCGAATAGGCACTAATAGTTTAGGGGTAACTGAAAGTACGAGACTACATTCAAACATAACAACATCTATAATAGTATGAAACATTATGGGTAGCGATAACAATTATGAATAAACAACAATGAATATAAAGACCTAATAACAACTTACATTATAGAGACCATAACGACGAGCTCTTGTCAAGTCAAGAGTAGTAACTTCGAAACACTCACATCCAATATTTATATACAACATTTTATTAGATATGCACGTTTCTCATGAGAGTTCCTTGGTCAGTTTTCATAGTTCAATGTCAATGGATGATTTGATTTACTTTATGTTCATGAAACCCTCATGGTTCGAAATAACTGATATACCGTATGCATGTTCTACTCGTGACAATATTCCAAATTTGAAACAACTATACATTCGCCATAGAAAATAACACGTCGCTCCATCTGACAGCAACAACTAGAACACTTCTGAGCGGTTTGTTTTGAAGGTATGACCAATAAGCACAAACAAAAAACAAATGTGAACCAATAAAAACAAAGTAAACAGGCCGCGTTGACAGCTTTCATAAACTCCGATAGGTGGTGTACGCTTATTTTCTTACGCGAATTGATGTTTTTTTCTAATTTTGACATGTGATTTGACCATTGTCGTTCTAGATGAGAAGAAGAATGACAATACCTACACAGCAACTTTTGAGGAGAGTCTGAAAATGCTCACTGAAGCACACTTTCCGGCCTCAGTAATTCTAAATGAGCCGATAGTGGCAGACAGCACCATTGGCAGGCCGAATAGGCCAACTGCCATAGAATGGAGGCTAGCTACAGAGATATCGAGGCCAAACAGAATTAGGTGGGCTATTAATAAATTTAAACCTTATAAATCCCCTGGAGTAGATGGAATATACCCCATCCTGCTTCAAAAGGGGCAGGAAATACTAATTCCACATTTGTGTCGTATATTCAAGGCTTGTATAGCAATACGATATATACCCATAGTATGGCAGAAGGTGACAGTCATCTACCTTCCCAAAGTGGGAAAGGTGGGTGACAAAACGCCAAAATCATACCGCCCAATAAGTCTAATGTCGTTCCTGCTCAAAACGCTGGAAAGACTGATAGACAGATACATAAGAGACGAGGTATTACAAAGAAACCCGCTCAACGAACGCCAATATGCGTATCAGCCAGGCAAGGCAACTGACTTAGCACTGGATGATCTGAACAGGCTACTCGCAAAGTCGATAGAGGACAAAGAAATAGCTATAACAACATTCGTAGACATAGAAGGTGCTTTCAATAACGCATCAACAAATTCTATAATTAATGCCCTAGCAAGGAAAGGAGTACCGCTACTCCTGTGCCAGTGGATAAATGTCAATTTGAAAAATAGGGTTATCATATCCACAATTGGCGAGACAACTCTGACAGCTAGAGCAGATAGGGGATGCCCACAGGGAGGAGTATTATCGCCCCTACTATGGGCCATTCTAATGGACGAACTGATCAAAAGGCTAACATCCAAAGGGTATTATTGCTTAGGATATGCCGACGACCTGGCGGTTATCGCTAGAGGTAGATTCGCAAGTACGGTCTCGGAGCTCACACAAATCGCTCTAAACATAATTGACAATTGGTGTAAAGAGGAGGAACTCACCGTGAACCCTCATAAAACCACTATAGTGAATTTCACGAAAAAGAGAGTACTGGAAGGATTAAAGTCACCAGTACTCAACGGGGTAGAAATTCCGTTCGCCCTAGAGGCAAAATACTTAGGAGTCATCTTTGACCATAAGTTAACATGGAATCAACACCTACAAAAAATTGTTCAAAAAAGTACAGTAGCCTTCAATCTGTGCAGACGAATGTGCGGGAAAAATTGGGGACTGCAACCAAAAATGACCACATGGCTCTATGCCAGCGTCATCAGGCCTATGATAGCATATGGGTCAGTAGTTTGGTGGCCAAAGACACAACAGGCTGGAGTGATTCGAAGGCTCAGTGCTATTCAAAGGCAAGCTTGCCTGAGTGCCACTGGTGCAATGAAAACCACTCCAACAGCCGCTTTAGAGGTCCTCTTGAACCTACCACCACTACAAATATATATTCAAGGCGAAGCCAGAGCAGTCGTGAGTAGATTGTCAAGGGGTCAAGCACCCATAAGCAACGCGCACGGTAAAGACTATAGAAAGCTATATGAAGAGTTGGAAAGCGACCCCATCATGGGAATGCCAACGGATGGCATAATTCCAAAATATAGCTTTGAAAAAACTTTTAAAATAAGTATAACGGACAGAGAGGCATGGAAGGAAGGACCTCCTATCAATGCAGACATTGCTGTCTATACGGACGGCTCCAAAACTGAGTTTGGATCAGGAGCTGGTATTTATGGGGCAAAGACAAGAATCTCACTGAGCTTAGGTAAATACGCGACGGTGTTTCAGGCAGAAATTATTGCAATACATCATTGCGTGAAAGAATTGATAAGGCAAGAGTTTAAAGGCAAAACCATTGCAATCTATTCAGATAGCCAGGCGGCAATCAAAGCAGTCAAATCTATGCAAGTTAACTCAAAACTAGTATGGGACTGCTTAGAAACCCTAAATGCACTGGGCAGTCAGAACAGACTGACTCTAGCATGGGTACCAGCACATACAGGGTACGAGGGCAATGAAGAGGCAGACTCACTTGCCCGAGCAGGAGCAAACAAAGCTCTGAATGGCCCAGAACCCTTCTGTGGTATTGCGAAAGCTATACAAAAGACTAGTATCAAATCATGGATGCAAACCAAATCTCAAGAATGGTGGAACAAATCGCCAGGAATGAGACAGGCAAAAGAGTTTATTAAAAAACCATCGCCAACATTCACAGAATATCTACTAAGCCAGAAACGAAGTTCAACTAGAATACTAGTGGGACTTCTCACAGGGCATTGTAGGCTCAACAAACACATGAGTACGATAGGTCTGACTGAAGAACTGCTGTGCAGGTTCTGTCAGGAAGAGGAGGAAACAGCAGTACACATACTTTGCCACTGTGAGGGCTTGTCAAGACTAAGGTTCCTTACGCTGGGTGAGGAAAAACCAGAAGCCCAGAGATACACAGGGGATCTGAAAGCTAGCCTATGGAGTCTCATAGAGAAGACGGGGCTAGCCGAAGAACTCTAATCGATTTTGAGGGCAGACACAATAGATCTGAAAAGGTCGCGGTGTGGAGGCAGATAGCCCAAAGGCCCCATTCTAAATCTAATCTAATCTAGATGAGAACCTAGTTAGGTAGTTAGTAGGTGAGAGCTTATTGTACCGTACTAGGTCGATTTCTAGGTTTTCATTTAGATCGACAATGATTTGACACTTTTCAAAGCAGACGGAAGTTGCGAAACCTACAGTGTGTCCAGTTTTCGATGCTTTTGTGTGATATTTTAGTTATCTTTGGAAATCGAACTTTGTTGTTTTCGCAGTCCTGTGCCCCTTTCTTGTGAAACTCAAGATTACCTTTTCAGATTTTGCATAACTGTTTTCGTTTATGAGATTCAGGGTGATTCTGAAAATTTTTGGACCCCCTCAGCAAAAATCTTATTTCATAGAGAATTTCCAAACATACTCCAAAATCACTAAAACATTGAATTAGCGAGCTATGAATTTTTTATATAAAAAGGTTCTAATTGAAGGAATATTTGCTTTGTTTTTTCCATGAAGAGTACAAAAACAATCAAGGGTAGCCGAGTTTTTGAAAATTTCAAGATCTTGTCTTGATTTTCAAGGAATCTTGATAAACCTGTTGAATATTGATCATTTCAAATCTCAAGTACACTCGTCTTCAGCGAACATGCCGCGGTTGGACGGTATGAACGTTCTTATTGCAGCGGTGATCAAGGGAGCTGACACCGTCCATGTGCGACATTTCCGGAAAATGATATTAGGAGTCAAAATAGGTCGAAAATCACTTCGGATTCGGAATCAGGACGCCCAATTCACTAACTATTCATATTTTTCCTGGAAAATTTTCAGTTCTGAAAAATTAAATATTGTCGCACTTTTTACGAAAGCGCCCCCGTATCTTACGTAATCGACTTCATCTTTGCACTCTCCCTCCCTCCTGCAAATTTCAGAACCCTACCTCAATGATTACGTGAGATACGGGGGTGCTTTCATGAGAAGTGAGACAAAATTTAATTTTTCCGATTCCATACATAACAATATCATTGAAAACGAAATAAATACCACTGATGAACTTTTGTAGGTTCCACGCAGTTGAGAGAAATTGAGAAAGTGTCGCTGGCAAGAATATTTTGTGACAACTCGGATAGTATCAAAATGATGCAGCAGGATGTATTCGTGAAAATAAGTCGAAGGTATGGTTATGTTCCTATTTTATACTGTTTTATATACAGGCTGATTCACGGTGGATGGCACATTAGACGTTTCTGGAGAACGCAACGTAGGATTTTTTAGGAAATTTGGTTCCTTGGATAATTATTTGTGTTTTATCGACCTGAAATATTCTCAGCGCTGCGACGTTGCCGCTTATATTGAAAAGCAGCAACAACTTTGATTTTTCCATGGGACACTGTATATTATTCTATTTTCAGATTCTTCCTGAGGAGCTGAGTTCATTGACCTATAATACTTGGGGTCTAGCGTGAATGATAACGATATATGGTGTGAAAAATCGAGATTTTTCAACTTTAAGAATTTCTTGTGTCGAAACTATTCATAATTGGTCAAAACGGTTTCCATGTTCCTATCTATCTATCATCGTGAATCAGCCTGTATACGAGGTGTTTTTTAAATAAGTACATATATTCAGCACATCGATATGATACACCCTCACGAATATTCCCATGATATCAGATTTTTTTCTTATTCTTCTAATTAACCCTCCCCCGCATGTGACGCCCCTGAATGAAATTATTAAATTTAGAATTCAGAGTCTTATCTGCCATCAAATGTTTATGCCGTACACCAATTTTCAAAAATTCATTTCGAAGAATTTCAAAGTTATAGAGAATAAATCGTCCTTGAGGGGCGTAGCTTGTTATCAGGAACTTTTTGCCTTATTTCCATGCAAGGAATGCGTCCCTGAAAGGATGCCGCTTACTTTTGAATCACGCTGTATGCATGGTAAAGAGAGTAATCTCTGTTATTTTCGAAGTAGGGTTTGCAGGAATTGGTTTTTTCCAGATTGAATATCAACCGAATAATTCTCTTTTGTGCAAAAAATACCCAATTTATATTACTACTGGCACCCCATAGTATTATATTATACTTTAGTACCGAAAGCACCATTGCGTAATATACGTTTTTCTACAAACGTCAAAAAATGACTAGGTTTGCGCATTGATAACAAACTGCGAATTGACGCTTTTTTCAGTCTCCTATGTTACCATGATACCTTGCACAAAACAATGCCCGAAGTAAAACAGTGCGCGAAGTACCTACTTCGCGCATTGTTATAAAAAATATATGAGATATTTATATTTCAACTTTATGGTCCTCAATCGAGCAAACATCCACAACAAAATTTATTTCTGCATGTTCAACAATACCTTTGTTTTATCTCTTAGAGCGCACGAAAGGAAATCCCTATTATGTTCATGGAATATCGTGCGTACCTAGGAAGGATAGGGGGAGACCTTTTAAGCCAGTTCGATACTATTTTTTACATCAAGCTAAGCATATTTTTACTTTAGAACTATATTTCTTGAACTTTGTAGAAAAAATGTTGTTTGCAACTCGAGCGTGAAATACTTTGGTCATATCGACTATTTTTTTAACTCGTCTACGCCTCGTGAAAAAGTTGCATTGGGGAAGACCACTGAGGGAAGAAATCCGTGCAAACCTCTTTCAATCGACGAATCATGATTTACATTTTATGTACAATCAATATTATGAGTTGAAGTTGAAGGGAATCGAATCTATATCGTTTTGAAATCAGCATATTTCATTCGATATTTCAAACAGCCAAATATGATGGTGGAGTCGTGACGTATTAGTCCCGAACTGTAGCTATCTCTCTCTGATACCTCGTCATTCTGCAGTGTTGCAGTGTAATTGGTCAGTTCAAGGACAATAGGCGTGTTGGGACTAAGACGTCGCACCAGTCACACCAATGAATTGATAAAATTTCAAATGGCGCAGGAATTGTGTGTTTTGAAATGGACATATATTAATTTATTTTTTTCATCGTCTTAGCATGAATGAGAAAATTCTAAATTAATTCACTGGTAGTTTTTCAGTATCGAGTTCATGATAATGTCGTTTTAAAAAATCAGTGGTCTTCCCCATTATCAGCGATTTTTCGTCTAGGACACTTTTCAATTGTAGTATAGATTTTCCTATATCATATTCAAAGAGTTTTCCTAGTTTACTCAGTTGTACGGCACAGTTTTTGGAACATTTATTTTTCACCATTTCCTTTTCAGCAATGATCTGGTCGATTGCAATAGCGATATAATTCCTCGAATGAATTTGATGCCTTGGCAAGATACATAAAAGAATAATCATTAGTGGACTGGATATCACAAACACTACCTACTTAATACCACTATATTAGAAATAGTGCAGAGGAGAACGAGGCAAAATCCTCTTCCTTATAGACTTTTTTTTTTTCGGAGTAGAAAGATATGGGACCTTCACCACCTTGAATATAAATGATTACTACATAATATTCCAGCTTGACTACTTTTTTCTATGGTACCGAAAAAAGTTATAAGCGGCCAAACTCGAAAATTTAAGAAAAAAATAACTTCGCGCGTGAATATATAATCCTTTGTAACTTCACAATTATAGCACTTGTATACGCAGTCTTTTCATAGAATGATTAAGCATATTCTGGAGATTCGATTCATATATAATATGTTGGGAAATTGGAGTATTTTTCGATCCAAAATGTATCATTTTGTACAGAATTCGCGAAAAAATTCCAATGTCATCGCTTCAGTTTATCATAACTTTTTAGTTCACGATATGAATTTCGATTTTTATGATATCTTTTGATATATTGAAATGTGAGCAACAAATTGTTTCCTATAAACTTTTCGCACGATTCAAAAATAAACTTTGTAGAAGCGTTTATTGTCTTATACGTGAGAGGCCGTCCGAGCGCACGAGTGAGAACGATACAGCGGCGTTTACGTGTTCTAGACAAGAACAAACAGTAAAGATTCGGGAGGATAACTGTCTCATTTGCGAATGGAGCTTTCTTGATGATTCTTTTGCTAGTAACATTCTTACAATGGATTGTAACGCGTCATTTTACGGTTGAATATGTAGGTAAATAACTTCAGTTACATATATTGTCCCAAAATAATTCACTTCAAAGGCAACGAAGTGAAAATGGTATAAAAAAAAGACCAAGAAGATATTGGGAGATGTTAGAATTTTCTAAACATGAGTCCCCAAAAAAATTAATGAACATTGCAGCTGGACAAATAATAGTATACCAAAATATATTGAAGAATTTTTATGACATGTTTGAATGCTGCTCAAACAATGATAGTGGATGAAGTTTTTGAACGGAGGCAACGTCAAAAAAGTTTGAACATTTTCCGATTATCAGAAGAATGCAATGAATAAAGAAGGTGAGTCTATATAGATATACATATTATATAGTAATAGGATCAGATGGTATGTTCAATAGCCGTTTGAAAAAACAGAAATCTAGTAGACATTTGTTTCATATGAGTTGATATAAGTGTTTCTTTTCCTATTTTTTCATTAGTTCAAGAGATGAAAGAGTTGAAAGGAACATTCAGTGAATCAGGTCAGCTCTCTGTTTATGAATAATAAAAAAAGATATCAAAATGAAAAATTTCCAGACGAATTATGTGATTATTGTATTCGACAGATATGATCGTAGAATCTCTACCAGATAATAGAGCAATAAAGACGAGGAGATACAAATTATAAAAGTTTTCGAAAAAAGGAAATTACTCCATTCCTAAATCTCAGTGGTTTTCAAAGGCGTCCAGGAATAAACATAACCTGGTAATATTTCTAGCGAAAATATTAATTTTTGATAATATTCAGACATTTAGTATTCCGAAATAAACCATCGCTGGATCGAGGTATCGGAAGGGTGAATGTAGGATAATAATATGGATAATTCTGTTACAAACAATGTAGGTATCTCTGAAATGCATCCATGAGGTTGCAGATAATTATGTTACATTTACTGGAAGAATCCGAATCTTCCAGTATGATTAGTTATGATTCTATTATTTGAAATACAAATTTCTATTTCCAAAATGGCCATGCAGTCAAACTTCTCATATACTTGATTTATGTTAATTCTATCAGTACCTAATGGTCTATAGGAATAGAATTTTGCAAGAAACTACCGGCTCTACATGCCCTTACTGGATCTGATTAAAGTGATACTATTTTCAAAAATGGAAAGATTTTGCATTAGATATTGCTAGGAAAAAAAAGACGACATTGAGAGTTTACTTCATCAAAATTATTGGATTATGTGGACATAGCAAGGAATTATGTAAGTAATGGAATTATATACGCATATAGGAAACGAAGATGCCAATGCTACGACCATAGATCAGCTAATAAGACACAAACTCACTGTCAATACTTTCAAGTCTTCTGTCGAACTTATTTCTACAGGAAATACATTCACACAGTTCGTATCGAGGTACGTACTAAAGTATAACTTTGTTGATTCATGAAATGCACCCAAATTGTATAGGTAGTTAATTCATTCCTGACTATGTGCAATACAATATAAAATATATTGCAAGAGTAAAACTGCAATGATCATGATGGAATTTTACTGAAATCATCAGTATTTTCAACTCTACCACCTATACATCCAGAGATATACAAGAAATGTTTAATATTTCTTGCTCTGACAAATCATGCAATTTTGATAAAAAAGACAATGCCATAGAGACGATAATTTGAAATGCAAATGCAAATAAGTACATGTTGATCGACTTCAACTACTTAAATAACAATGATATATGTATAAATAATTAGTGAATCGATTGAATTGTTTATATATTTTGCGAACATTGAAATAATTTGATATACAATCCATCAAAATATTTTATTGACAAAATTATAATTCCTCATAATAATGAATAATTCTGTAACTAACAATTTATCCTTAAAGTGCATTCATGAGGTTGCAGATACACTATAATTATATGTTACATTTACAAGAAGAATCCAAATCTTCCAGTACATATAGGTAATCGTGTTATTTTCTTCCAGATACTGTGTTGCATCATCGGGTCTCAGATTCATGATAACAAACTTTTCACTAGTTTTTCAGGGGAATATGTGATAAATTTCAGTTAGATTCAATATTTTATATAAAAATTGACATTCTAAGCAAGCAAATATGTGAATTTATCGATATAAATCTAGTATATTCATCATATCTGTGGATGGAGCTCTTGATATTATTTCATCTTCGCTCCGCACTCATGCACCAGTATCTATCGCACTCTGTCTCACTCACTGTGCATAGCCTATCTAAAGTTGCACGTTGTCATTCAAAGCGCTATAAAAAGTTTATTTTTGAAACGTGCGAAAAGTTTATTCGAAACAAATTGTTTGTTATACTTCAATCGATCTAGATGAAAGAAAAAAATTGGAATTCATATCGTGAAAAAGAAAGTTATTATCAATTGAAGGGGTGTTAATGCTAAATTATTCATGTAATGCATGACAAAAAATTTATTTTTACTTATAAAAAACCTCATTTGGGCAGTTTATATACCATGAATCGAATCTTCATAATGTCCTCAACAAAATGATGAGAAGTTGAGGCATCTAAGTTATGTGGTCTACAAGTTACAAAGTTTTATACATTTACGTGCGAAGTAGATTTTTTTTGTAATTTTTGTGTTTGTTCGTTTATAACTTTTTTCGGTACCATAGAAAAAAGTAGTCAATCTGGATTCTAATGAGTCAATAGTTTCTAGATAGGATAGTGAGGGTCTGATATCTTTCTACTCTCAAAAATTTTTTTGATAACTTTTACCCTGTGTTCCGCTGCACTAAAAGTATTATTTGAAAATGAGGACAAGTAGTGAGGACAAGTTGCCAGGATTGTACAGGATTTCACATCACCACCACGTTTGTTCATTAATCTTGGACTTTACTTATAGGTTCTATTTTCACTTGGGGGTTTTGACTCTGTTATATTAAAATGATAAAAAATACTGAACTATTTTTTTTTCTCTCATTTCAACTATATCTACGTCGCATTGTAATGAGAGAGAATAATCATTATCGTCTAAAATGTATTACAAAATCTTGATGTAGATCGTAACATTTATATAGAAAAACTAGAAATTATATGCAAAATACTCTTCCAACCTATAGAAGCACTTTCCCATCACAAGGTTTTTTACTGATTTCCTAAATTGCTTCTGATCATTGATTGCTGTTATTTGTTTCGGTAAATGATTATATATCTGTCTACTCCCATAGATTTGAGAATGCTTGGTCAAAGTTGATGTGGGGAGTGGAAGGACAAGTATCATCTCCTTTCGTGTATGCCTTTCTGCTCGATTCAAGAACTCTTCTTTATGTTTGTGAAGCAAGCAAACAGTCTCCTTAATAAAAATTTCGAATATTGTTAGTATTTTATATTGGCAGAAAATTGGCCTACACGAGTCGCGAATCCTCTTATGTTTGAATATTATTCTCATAGCTCTTTTTTGAATGACGAATATACTTTGCAATAAAACCTGGCAGGCAGAGCCCCAAAATGGAATTCCATACCTAAGATGACTCTCCATAAATATGCGGTCATTGAAGCTGAAAATCCGAGTTCACGAGATATGACATTCACGGCAAAGCAACCAGAAGACAATTTCTTTTCCAGTGCATCAATTTGTGTGTCAAACTTTAAATTACTATCAATAAATATACCGAGGAATTTCGTTACAAGCTTACTTTCAACCGTCTGACAACCTAAAGTTACCTGATCCAAATCCCACTTAAATGTGACCAGATTTGTTTTAGAAAGATTCAGCGACAACATATTCGATTCACACCAATTTTTTATTTTTTCTAAATCAGAGTGTATAGTTCGAGTCGAAGTGGCCGGATCTCCATTACGCCAAAATACCGTGGTGTCATCCGCAAATAAGGTGAAGGTTCCAGATATATCCAATTTAGCCAGATCGTTAACATACAGCAAGAATAAAATTGGGCCCAACTGACCCTTGAGGAACTCCGTTTACTATTTTTCCACTTTCGGAAGTATTATTGTTCAAAGATATCTTTTAGCTTCTACCAGTGAGATAAGATCTGAACCATTCTAATGTTGTTCCCCGAAATCCATAATGGAAAAGTTTATGCAGGAGGATCTCATGACACACACAATCAAACGCCTTAGAAAGGTCCAGAAATACTGCCGCAGCCACATCCTTATCGTTTAGAATTGTGTAGATGTTTTCGAGTAAATTAAAAATGGCATCAGTCGCATTTTTATCATATTGGAAACCAAATTGTACGGGAGTTAAAATCTTGTGCTTTTCCAAAAAGCCCACCATCCTGCGTTTTACTAGTTTTTCGATGATTTTTGATAGAATTGAGATCTGTCTGTATTCTGTAATTACTAGGGTCATCAATGACACCTCCTTTGTAGTAAACGCTGTATTTATAGCTGTTACATCAGCTGTTACTAAGGCTTCAAGAGCTTCATCCGGCAATTGAAAGAGCAGCTTTGCTGAGAGGTTGTCTTCACCAGCAGAGTTTTTATTTTTGATTTCTATTATCACAGATTTTAGTTCACTCAAATATATATCATACAAAAAAAGGGAGTCTAGAGGAGAGCTCATCTTGTTCAAATTATGAAGTGGATCTACTATTGGTATGATATCTTTGGTTATTTTTGATGCTGGGTACTGAACAATAATATTCATTCAAATGATTTAAGTTGATCTTTATTTCCGGTTGATTCTGTTTCTTATTACCTCTCAAGTCGTTTATTATTGTCCACATTTCTTTTGGTTTATTACCTGCCTGATTCAGTCGGTCAGTATAATAGAGATCTTTGGCTAATTTGATAGTTTGTCTGTAAATACGACGAAAGTTATTGAAGTATGAAATGAAAAATATATTGTCACTATGAAATTTTCTAATGGTACGCATCAGGCATCTTAGATTTTTTGAGGAAATTTTAAGTCCTTTTGTGAACCAGAGTTTGGATTTTTTCCGTTTCAACAAGCGCAGCGGAAATGCGTTTACCGAAATATTCACAATAATTCATCTCATCTCATAGTAGGGGAGCCCAAGCGGGGATTCTGGGATTTACTCGAGCGTGGTAGTATAACATAAGGGGGGGGGGTTGGTTAACTTTGCACCTTGTGAAGTAGTCCCACCATACTTTGGGCTCTATATATGGTGTCAAAAAGGTCTAGGGTCCCAGCAAACATTTCGTTATGGGGCATCAATGGCCTAATATATTTTTCCCATACCTGACATCAGAGGCCAGTAAATGATCCCATATGCGGGACTCTATATATCAGTACACTGCGGCCGGCAGGTGGTCCCTGTGCTGGGTACCCAGCAATCATATTCAGTTTCCTGGCAAAAGGCCAGTACAACATAATCGACACATTGAGTTTCCCATAGCAAGCCCAGCATATACATAAATGATGGGACTGTAAAGGCCAATTAACGACATGCGTTACATACTATCGAGGTAGGGAAGGGGTAGGGGTTTAAGGGGTCCAATGGATCTGAAAGTTTTAGTACCTCTTTATTCCAGAATATAACCCTCTCATCATAAATCAGACACATACCAAATTTCAAGAAAACAATTTTATTAATTACACAATAATATCTTATTCTTAACCTCTTTGTTCTTTAACGATTAAACTTCTCTGAGTGACTGCTTACTTGTTGGTATGTGGTATCTACATCTTATTGGGTGGCATTCCTGCAAAGTTGATTCTTCGTTGTGAGGTACTTCTGAAATATAAAATGCATCATTTGTTATAGAGGGTGTTTGGTTCACCGACGTATATCGGAAAGGGGGTGATAGATAACAACATTTCGAACATATTTTACCATATATATATTATTATACGAAGTATTTCTTTCGAGGTATCATATCGGTCTATGTATTGTCACCGAAATTATGAACACCTGCCTAATTTCAAGTTAATCGGAGTTATGGAATTTTTGTTGAAATTAAAAAAAAAAATGGCTGCTCCAAGATGGCGGACAACATTTGGTCCGATTCTATTCAAAATTGGTAAGTGGGGGTTTTTGAGGTCGGAGATCATGATTTTTTTGTTATAATTTATAAATTCAAGATGACGGCTTCCAAATAATGTTTTGTTTTTGTATAAATGGCGATAACTCCGTTGTTATCAACACAAAACTATTACTGCGACATATCATCTGCAAGTGGAAAAAAAGTTATTTGTAACTAAGTCATAGTGAGCTATGACCTACATTTGAAAAACCAAAGTTGGTGCTGATATCTCAAATTCTAGGAGATTTGGTATAAATTTCATATTTTCCTCTAAATCACTTTGAAAAACTGCCATGAGAATGTGTAATTCCTATTTGAATATTTTCATAAATAAAGAAGTTACAAAGGAGCAAAATACATTGGGCTACTCAGCCAATGACGACTTTCTATTTGACTGTGTGGGCTACTCCGAGCATGAAAAAAGGTTAGTGCTCGGTGCTTCACCGTGCTAAAACATGGCTAAAACGCCAATCGCCATCCACCTTTCCCTACCCCTCTGTCACTGTCAAATGATAAGACATTTTGGTTTCAAAGAGATTATTTTCTCATTTCATGTATTAGAATAGTTCAAATCACAATTATTATAGTATGCTCGTCTCCAGAATCAGACATTATCAACATAGCTTTTTTATCGCTTGGTACGCACAATAGGGAATCCCTATAATGTTCGAAGACCATCGTGCGCACCTAGGGAGGATAGAGAGATAGGAGGTAGGTGTTGGATTTTGTTTTCAATTCTGAAGATTATACGTTAGGTATTGAAAATACTTGCCTATGCTGTATTTCTAAATTTCCAAAAGGTAAACAAAGAGCGCATGCGTAGGGCGTTCGTTGTGAAATTTTCTTTAGGTTTATCGAGGGGGTGGTAACATTCACTTTTGATTATTTGGGATTTTCTCTCCTCGTTTCCTTGAAATAAAAATATAAGAATAATCTCAATATATGTGTAGTAGGACAAATCAGATGAAGAAAAATCCAATAGCTTGTCAGTGACACTTTGTTTGGAAAAATGAGATTCATTCTAACTCAAACAAAACCGAATAATGAAGAACAATCATCAAAAAATTGTATCTATTATAGTATACCTTGTGTTTCTGGTCAGTATTATACAGGTGAATCGAAATGAAGACCTCTTTCAGTAAGGATGAACAGAATTCTACTTTCAAGTGCAACAAACACTGGGCTACTCAGGTCCATGGAACATGGAATATAACCAGTTGAGAATGTTCGGGAAGAGAGAGAAACATCCTCCTTCGACACAAATGAGAATGTTTTCATACAAAATTCAGCTTGTCAAAGAATTGAAACCGATAGATCACCAGCAGCGACTTGATTATGCAATCTGTTTCCGGCAAAAAGCATACTGCATTTGAAAAAAATATGTCTTGAATAACAATTAAAGAAATCAAACCCTTCCGTTTGCCACCCAGAATAACGTTATTATTTTGGGAGCCAAATATTGGATGATGGTACGGGAACTGTCTGCAGGCACTCGTGTCGCGAATCGTCGCGTACTGCCGTCATCTATCTTTCGGTTCTATGTCAAATTGTCATATGTCTTTTTCTTCTTCTGTTTCGATTTTCGTTGCGCGCTGCATTCAGTGCATTCGCCATTTTGTTTTTTGTTATTGATTCTTGATCGTGTTTCACTGTTTCTATCTTACGGTATATCATCATATTATTCTTCCTGTTATTCCCATTAATCCCATTATTCCTGTTCATCAGATAGTCGTTAAAAAGACAGTTGCGTTTGAGCCTGAGGAGGAGAACCGTGTTTATAGAACTCACAAGGTAAGCTGAAAAACTCCTTAGTTACCTACTTGGAATGTATGTAATGTATCCGTTTTGTTTTAGGCGGAAGAAACAATGTCTTATGGCGGTGGAGATGGTGACGAGGGCTACATCGCGAAGCTGCGCGGCTTGCCTTGGTCGGCCACGCCGGATGAAATCCTCAAGTTCTTCAGCGATTGCCGGATCGTCGGAGGAAAGTCCGGGATACACATGACGACCTCCCGCGACGGGAGGCCCAGTGGGGAGGCTTTCATCGAATTGGAGGACGCTGAAGACTTGGAGATTGCAGTGTCTAAAGATAGGGAGCATATGGGAAACAGATACATAGAAGGTATGTCAGTGTATATTATTATGAAACAGTTTTACTAGCTTGCTATGTATGTTTTAATGTTTGTTTGTCTGTATGTAATGGAATATTTGAATGTGATTTTGAGTCTCCTCAAAACTCCTAATCAAATTGAATCTTCACTACTCTATAATAAATTGAAACTTCCCACACTTATCAAGGAAAGATGACAATAGCATAGTTCAATAGTTTTGTTCCATTATCCCGATCAGGATCTTCACAATGAGTGATTTTTTCCACATCTAGAGACACAGTAGTAGCATTCACCCAAGTACTTGTTTGAAATAGTTGGAGTAAAAGTGCACTGGTAATACTGCATTTATCATGGGATAGGTTTTTTTCCAAATTTTTTTTGGTACTTATGTATTTTTGTCTGAAAAACAGGAATTTGATAATGAAAATGTGAACAAACCATTATTTATTAAGATATTTCACTATAAAGTTACCAATTTCACCCTCTTTTCCACTTGTCTTCTGGATAGCATTTAGAACCATTTGCCCTTTTTTTTCATCATTGGACAATTTACATAATATACCATAATGTAAGACACATTTTTTTTTCTTTTATATGAGTCAACTAGAAACATGATGTTCTTGTGATTTATCCATATGTAGTGAAAAGATGAAGGAATATCATTTAAAAAAATGGCATGTGTGATGTCATTCAAAAGCAATCTTTTGACATCTTGTATTTGGATTGACTATTCATTAAATGGCTGTCATCTGGTATGCTTGTTCACTAAATATGAAGAACTGGCCATAAAAATCATATTTCCTGTTGAATTTTCTATCTTAAAATGTGTCATTGAAATACATCATGAGTGTACAAAGTGTCCAATGACAAAATAAAAAGAGCAAGTACCTGTAAATGCATCCAACACAAAGGGAAAAAGAAGGTGAAATTTCCAACTTTTTCTTAAAATTTCTTGATAAATAGTGGTTTGTTCACATTTCATCATTCATAAATTTGTGTTCCAAGTACAAAAAAAAACAGGGAATGATAAATGCAGTTTTACCAAGTGCACTTATCATGCAATGGTTTTTTTAGAAAACATTTTTTTTTATTCATTCCTCTGAAAAACATTAATTTCATAATGACAAATTTTATGAAAAAGTGTGAAATTTCACTTTCTTCTGCAGCTCATCTAGGATATTCATTTACAACTACTTGTCCTTCTTTTTCAAGCACTGGACACTTTATATACTCATGTTGTACTTCATTAATACATTTTATTTCCTAAAATCAACAAGAAGTATTGTTCATTTGGAATTTTTCCATATTTATTGAGGTAAACAATAGTTTGGTTTCTCTAGATTATTGCAAATTTGTTTCAAATTTGACCTTTATTTGACATCTCCTATTTGTATTTTTAGTTCTGTGATTTGTATTTAGTTTTGATAATTGATTTGCAATTAGCTGATGATTGTTTACCTCACTAAAAATATGAAAAAATATCAAATCTACTACTTGTTGATTTTAGGACATAAAATGTGTTATTGAAGTACAATGTGAGTATTTAAAGTGTCCAATGATAGAAAAAGAAGGACAAATAGTTGTGAATGAATATCCAAGATGGGTGGCAAAATATGAGTAAATTTCACATTTTTTCTAAAATATCTCAGTAGATATAGGTTTGTTCACATCTTCATTGTGAAATTCATGTTTTTCAGAGGACAAAAAAAATTTTCTGTAGAAAAACCAATGCATATGATAACTGCACTTTTACCATAGTTAGATCCATATAGATGGTATATTTGTTGGAAACTAGTTGATGAATAAAATTGTAGGCCCAGTAGGTCTACAACAGCTTTTTAGTCATTATGTCAATAGCAGTTGGAGTAAAATTTTACAATGATAGATGTTGTGAGGTGTGAACCACTTTGGAAATACCTGTACATTTTCTGGAAATACTGGAAATTATCAGAAAATACCAAATATAGTTAGTCAATTGATGCAATATTTTGGAAATACAAGAAAACCTTGGAAATACAGGAAATATGAAGGGTATCTCCAAATAAATACAGGAAATTTTAGGAAATTCTTTTCTGGAAATACAGGCATTCATAAACAAATATGAGAAATATTCAGGCAATACAAGCAATATTTTGGAAATATAGTCAATATGAAGTATATAGAGAAAATGTTTAGGAAATACCAGCAATATATAAACAATACATGGATATGCAATATGTCTCTATTGTTCTTAGCTATATTATATTCCTAAACAAGTTATGAGTGCATATGAGTCTAACCACCCAGTGAACCTTCATCATTATTATACAGGCAAGTGGAAAAGTAAATTTTCTCGAAAGAATCCCCTGTATATTATTGCAAATTCTTATAGATTTGTTTTTGTGATTTCAACTATTCAAATATAAGGCTGATGATGGACATATACATGTCCAAAACATGTACCAGCCAATTCTGATGTGTTAATCACATTAAATGTAGTGGAGATGACTTCCTGTATCATTTAGTATTTAATTTATTCAAATATGATTGATTTTTATGTATTTTTACTGTCAGTGAAGGCAAATGTATGTGAAGATTGAATTAGAGTAAATATCTCAAATATGAGAAAATATGCTTTCAAGAAATGACAGAGAAAACAATAGTGAATATAGGATATTCCCTAGGGTATTATTAAGGGTAATCTATGAAGGGGAATAATAAAATGGCAATGATAATTAGGAGATTAGGAGGTTGGATACTTGAATATAGCAAACTAGGTTATATTCACTATAAATTTATACAGGTTTAAATCAATAATCTAATTATTATGTCCCATATTATGTAATTTTAAAAACTATAATGACTTGTAACTAGTAAGAGAGGTGTTCCTAGATTACATTTTTATGTTTTTTGGAACATAATAAATTCATTCATTCATTCATAAGGAAGTGAAGGAACTATTCAGGAAATACCAGCAATAAACAGGAAATGCAAGTAATATTCTGGCATTCCTAGGAAATATAGGTAATAAACAGAAAATACAAGCAATACTGAGTTTATTGAAGAATAGCAAGAAATACTTGAAATATATTCAATATTTCCTGAAAGTATTAGGGATTTGGCCAATACCTGTACTTCTTGCAACCAGTGGTTCACTCCTCAAGACATTGTTTTCCTCATTATATTTTAATATAGGATATTTATTACCATGCTGCCAGCTTGGTATGTATTTATATTCATAAATTGATCTCTCTATGTGATTTTGACCCATTACAAGACATCAAATTAAATTGTAACTTCCCAAACTTATCAAGGAAAGATGACAATAGCATAGTTTAATAGTTTTGTCTCCTTATCCTGATCAGGATCTTCACAATGAGCGATTTTTTTCCCATCCAGAGACAGCAGTATTGTTCACCAAAGTACTTGTTTGAAATAATTAGATCCATAAAGATGGTATATTTGTTGGAAAGTAGTTGATGAATAAAATTGTAGGCCCAGTAGGTCTACAACAGTTTTTTAGTCATTATGTGAATAGCAGTTGGAGTAATATTTTACAATGATAGATGTTGGGATGAAGGGAATCTTCAAGGAAATACAGGAATTGTTAGGAAATACTTTTTTGGAAATACAGGCATTGATGAGGAAATATGAGAAATATTCAGGCAATACAAGCCAAATTTTGGAAATAGAGGCAATATGAAGGGAATATAGGCAATAAGCAAATACAAACAATTTTTAGGAAATACTAACTATACATAAGCAATACATGGCCATATGTCTTCATTGCTCTTATATTCATTACTATTCCTAAACAAGTTGAGTTCATATGAGTCAACCACCCAGTGAACCTTCATCATTATTATACAGGCAAGTGGAAAAGTGAATTTCCTCAAAAGAATCCCCTGTATATTATTGCAAATTCCCATAGATTTGTTTTTGTGATTTCAACTATTCAAATATGAATGATTTTTATATATTTTTACAGTCACTGAAGGCAAATGTATGTGAGGATTGAATTAGAGTAAATATTTTTTTAATATGAGACAAGATACTTTCAAGTAATGACAGAGAAAACAACAGTGAATATAGGATATTCCCTAGGGTATTATTAAGGGTAATCTATAAAGGAGAACTGAAATTCAGAGTGCAGTTAATAATTCAATGTTAATGATAATGCTCTACCTATTGTCTATTATTTTTATTTATAAACTACCTACACTAAGAAAAATGTATATTCCAGTATTTCTTTCTCTACATTTTCTGGCCATTCAGAAGTAGCCATATTTTGGGAATATTTCTGGGAGTACAGGTATCAACTAGGAAATACAGGAAACATTCAGGAAATTCAAGTAATATTCTGGCATTCCTAGGAAATATAGGCAATAAACAGAAAATAGGAGTGCTACTGATTCAAATGAACAATAACAAGAAATACTGAAATATATTCAATCTTTCCTGAAAGTATTGCTGATTTGGTAATACCTGTACATTTTTCAACCAGTGGTTCACTCCTCAAAATGTTGTTTGCCTTATTATATTTTAATATAGGATATTTATTACCATGCTTCATCACCTTGGTATGTATTTATGTTTGTAAATTAATCTTTGAATACAATTTTGTCCCATTTCACAACATCAGAAGAAGGCTGTAAGAACTACCTAATAAAAATTGTATATATAATGTTTCTCTGTTTTATATAGTGTTCATCTATCATATTATGTAATCTGTCATTTATCTAGTTTAAGGATTCATACCTCTGTAACAACCTGACTATTCCTATTCTTTTTTAGAAAGTCTAAAATAGGATCTTCAGGATGAGTAATTTTGCATCCAGAGACATGGCAGTGTTTTGCACCAAGTACTTCTAAGAAAAAGCAAAGATAAATGAGAGAGAGAAAAATACTGAAAAACTTGCTTTTTTATTTAGCCAAACTAAAAAGTCAACAGCAACAATATTTGTTCAAAAAACAGAAAAAAAAATTTCTGCCAGCCAAACTAGAAAGTAGAAAATAATTATTTTCAATATGTTTCCAAATATAAATAGAGTAATTATTGTTCTCTACTTTACTCTTGTAATTTTACTCTAATTTGCTTTTGTGGTCGAAACATTGAAAATTATAATATTACTCTATTTTTATTTTTAACATAGGTATTGAAAATCCATATTTTTAACTTATTTTGGATATCTATTACATTTTGATTTTTTATTCATTAATTTTTCAAATAACATACCTATCAGCATACTATATCAATAATAATATACATTTTTTTTCCTAGGGTTATAACACAAAATTGCTCTTGTTTAACTGTGTTCTATACATCAATGAGGTACTTTGTATATCATCAATTTTATTTCCATATCTGCTATCACAATGACTCCATTGTGTTATTATTTCAAAAAAATCTCATCACTCATGGAATGTCAAATTGCAAGCAATGACATCTTTGTCTGTTACAGCCATAGAAAAATTATAGTGTATAACTTGCACAGAATGCTAATTTCCTACCTCAATGATTTTCCTAGGATATCACTATCATTTGGTGCTCCTTAAACAATATACTAGTTTCCTTCCACTGACTAACTAAAATTCATTTTCTCATTGAATTAACATAATAATAATACATTTTTATATTATCTGAAAATAACTATAAGAAACATGATATGTTGCTTAAATATTTATTCATATAATCAAATTTTGAAAATTTCTGAATCCTCAATTAACCAGGATTCAATTTTTTCCTTGGATTAAAAAAAAAACTGATTTGTTCTACAAAGAAGGAGGCAATTTATTGTAAATTTTTATTATCTATATGAATGGCATGTTATTTTTGGTATCATATTTATCTTTCACATGATTATAGTTTTGTAAAAGTTTTCTTATGTACCTATATTGTTGATGTTTTATAAAACAATCGATCAACAGATGAAATGTTACCATGTTCAAACTCTTTTTAATTTTCCATCTTCAGATGAATGAATAGAATTGTTTTTGTTGCAGTTTTCAAAGTGAACAAAGCTGAAATGGAATGGGTTGTTAAAAGGTCAGGCCCGGCTCATGGACCTAATGACGATGGTTGTGTGAGATTGAGAGGTTTACCTTTTGGTTGTTCTAAAGAAGAAATTGCACAATTCTTCACTGGTAAGAAATGATAAACTAATTGCACCCTTGAACTGACTCTGTGAATAGTTTTGAAAAAAAAACAGTATTCATGAGAAAGTGAATCATTGTTTTCATCAATTTTACTAGGTATGGGTTTTAAAGGCATGATTGAAAAATTGTTGTTTGAAATGAAAGTGTGGATTTTTGTTGTCATCATTGGATTGAAGAGCTATAGGGTGTTCCCAAATTTACAGGAGTATAAAATGTCTAAAACAAACCATTTGTATTCAAAACATGGGTGGTCTTGATTGCTGTGCAATAATTTTAATCAGTGATAAATATTAACAAAATGAGATTTTTTAAACTTTAGGACTGCATTGAAACTCGGAACACAGGGTGTTCAATTATTATAGTCTATAATCATAATTGTACAAGTCAAATCTTTATTTTATGGGCCCAGTATTGTATAACAACCTAAACAATAATAAAGACTATACTAAGTTGAAAAATATGTCAGATATCAGATCAATACTGCTAGCAAATGCCTTCTATTCCATAAAAAAGTACCTTCAGTACTATTTTTAGAATTGGTAAATGATTTGTGTGAATGGTGATGAGCACATGTAAGTATGAACATATAATGAGGATGGATGATTGGTCATTAGTTTAATGTGATAATGAAAATTGTTGAAACTTTTATGACTTGTCCTGTATCATAACTGTAGGACCTTCTTGGATAAATAAAGGTATTCTATTCTAATAGAGAAGTTCAGCTAGCATTGAAAAAGAAAACGTCTTCCCCATCTTTCCTTGTCTTTAGTGTTCCAATGTAAAATAATGAAAATTTTATTATTGCAACACTGGAAATGACAAGAAATGGAGAAGAAGACCATTCTAACCTTTTTATAATATATTGAATTCTCCGTTTCTTCATTTCCAGTGTTGCCAACCTAAGATTTTTAATATTTCATGTTGGAATACTGAAGACAAGAATAGATGGGGAAGACATATTTCCTCTCTCTCAAAGTTGCTGAACTTCTTTATTTATTGAAATCTCAGACGAATAAAAGAAATAGACCCGCCAACCCTACCTTCAATGCATTATATTGTTTGTAACAGGGATATGGCTATCTCTGTTGAGGCTAGAAGAGTGTGACCTATATCCATCTCTGTTTACTCAGACCCCTCAGTCATAGGCGGACCAAATTAAATTTCCATGGTTAAATTACGCATATTATTTTTTGAAAAATGGTTAATTGAATTATTGAAAAAAAAAACTATTACAATTGCAGAAATCTTATTTTCCAAGAAAATATTGCGAAAATAAAAGCAAATATCAAATTATATGGAATCGAAAGTAGGTAAGTATTTGTAGTTGAAAAAAAAAAAAGAAAGAAAGTATGTCTGGAGACTGGAAAATGAAGTGTCTACCACGGCAAATGTGTACCTACATAGAAATTAATCTGAGGCTAACTTTTCTTGCCGCATAATCGAATTTGCTACGCAATTTTTTTGGAAAATGGTAAAAAAAATGAAGTGCATATAATTTTTGATGATCAAAACTCTTCGTATAAAATGACCATAAGCACTTTTCGCCTTCTTTGCAAATATTTTTAACAAAATCAATCGTCCATATGTTTTTCTTGACTGTAGTGCTGAAATATTCTCATCAATTTCCAACATAATCAGACATGAATAACAATGTATGTTTGGTTTTATTTTTCTCACTACAGAGCCTGCAGTATAAGCTATTATATCTTCATTACACAAAGTCATGTTGCAAACATTTGATGAATTTACATAATCATGAAGTTCTGCATTTCATCCTGGCTCTCTGAGTGGGAAGAAGATGCAATTGGTTCAGTTGATCTGAAAAAAGATCAAAATCATGATGGTGTTGAAAACAATAATAAATTTCATAGGAATACCATGTTTATTCCTACTGAAGCATAGAAAGGCCACTGTTGTGTGTATTTCATTTTGTTTCTTTATTAAGACTTTTTTCTCTTAATTCATACTTTTTCGTCTGAATTCAGACTTTCTTCTCTGAATTCAGACTTCGTTGTCTGAATTCAGACTTCGTTGTCTGAATTCAATTTTTTTTTGGGGTTTATTTTTGGAACACCCTGTTTTACACATACACATATGACAAGAAGTTTGAATTGAGACAAAAAGTCCGAATTCAGAGAAAAAAGTCTTAATTCAGACAAAAAAAGTGTGAATTCAAAGATAAAATAAAATCCACACAACAGTGGTCTTTCTATCCTCACAGAAACAAGAGTTATACTATTTTTACTTATTTTTCACTGAACACACTTTTATTTCAACTAAGCAAGTACTCACATTGATTCTGATTCAATAACCATGGTGTCATGGAGGTCACTAGAACCAGCAGTTGATTCTGGATGAATATCTATGAGACATGGAATTGCGGCCTTCTTGATGAATGTTCTACTAGGCCATTGTATAATATCTTTTTTTGTGGAAGTACTTGGTCTTTCAAATCACCCACTTCCAATTTTTGGACATCACACCATAGCTTCTTCATTTTCTCATCTGAAGGAAATCTGTAATTTTAAAACTCTCTATATTTCATTTCATACACCCTTTTTTTATTCATTTAAGCAGAAATAAGGTCTAAGCATACATTTATTACATCTAATATCTTACATCTAACATATGACATAGGTACTCATCAGAACTGAACCCCTTACCTACGTCTATGGTACTTACCGATGAACTGATATCTCATTCCCAGGAACTTTCTTGAGGCCACAAATCATGCAAGATTTACCCGTTTTCACTATGAATCGTCTTCCACACGAAAAAATACAATTCTAACTGAAAATAGACACAGGAAATCAGAACTACGATAGACAACAATGCTAACCTCAATACTATCAAAAATCAAAACAATGACTGAAATGACCACGCCCGAACGAGCCCGAACTCAATGCCCCGACGATACACGAACCAGTCGGTTCTTATCTTGTTAATGAGGGGTCTTGACAAGTATGTTGGCTTCAGAAAAAGGATAGATAATACGGGTCTATTTCTTTTATTCGTCTGAGATTGAAATATTTGAAATAGATGGTTTAAATTGAAAAAAAAAACATGATTCTAATAACAATGATTATTCATTAGTTTAACCCCCTTATGGAATGGTTATGGAATGATGATTTTTGTCCAGTGATTTTCCTTTCAATTATTTATTTAGTAGATTGAACTAGTTGGATCATAAGATTTTTGAACACTGTGAAGCTTATGGATGTTTATACATTGACTTCCACAAAATTCATGCCACATCTTCATTAACTATTTTCAACCTTTAAAAGAGAAACTTGAACTCAATCTAGATCTGTCAACTGATTTTGTTGCCATAAAAATTGAATTATTTTCACCTATTTGGCATGATTTCTTTGCATATCTCACTTTCCCAAATTCAAACTTTGATTCAGAGTGAAAATATTTGTTTTGTTTCTAGAGGGAGAGGGTTTGTGATAAATTAATTATTAAAGGCAGAAATAGAAAGAGAGATGAGAGTGAAGAGATGGAGAGACAAAAAGAGATAGAGAGTGAAATAGATAGAGAAATAGAGATACAGAGAGAATTAGGGATGGAGAGAGATGTTGGGCAATATGGAGATATTGATTCTTGAAAAATAATCATTTCCTTAGCAACATCTCAACATGAACCATTTTTTCCTATTTTCTTGAACATCAGTGGGCTCATTTTCAATAATATGGGAAATCTTTGATGCCACTTGATTGGCATTCCAGTTAGAAACATGTGATGGTTTCATGAGAAATTCTAGCACTCCACTGCTATTTCAAAGTGTAATTTTTGTTTTCACCCCATAAAAATATGTTGATATCTTGCCTTGTTTTCAATGAATAAAGCTGTTTGCACTGATAAATTCTTCAACTCGAATCTTTGTAGCTCCAGAAATGTTTTATTTTGTGAAAGAGAGAGATAGTGAAATAGGATGGATTGAGACTTGAGAGAGATATAGAGATAGTGAATTACAGAAGGATAATCAGGGATAGTTAGAAGGGGAGAGGGTAAAAGAGATGTAGAGGGGGCTAGAGGGAGAAAGGGCCAGAAAAAAATGAGAGGAGGGGGAGAAAGAGACAGAGGAGTGAGGGAGAGAGAGAGAGGAGTGGGAGAGAGAGAAAGAGAAATAACGCCACTAGAATTGGAATAAATATTTTTCAATTTATCAGTTTCAATTCTTTTCAACCTTCAATATCATGTAAAGCAAAAACAAAACATATTTTGACCCCATGTTTATAGAAATTCATTTTATCTCTTTCATAAGTACTATGATTTGATGTAGTTTGGCAGATACAAACTAGGCCTGTTCGTTTGTATTGCTGAACTGGCTAAAGTTGATCTTTTTCCCATAGTTGTCTCTGTTCATGCCATGATGTAAACAAAGAAAGTCATAGAAAAAAATCAAGTTTAGTAGGTTGAGCAAGCACAAACGAACAGGCTTATTGAAACACCCTGTATATTTCATGGAGTTTCAGTTTGTTGACACTGGTTATTTGAAAAACAATTCCACGTTTTGATTTTCAAACAACAATTAAAAAAAACAAAGTGACAAATCAAGTTATTGGAAAGATTAGCGACATTATAGGGGGCGCTGTATTTCAAATGACCACTATAAGCAGTACTCTTTGTTAGTTTGTGGTTTCTGCATTTATTATCTTAAACCTCCATATTTTATCAAATATTGGACATGATTGCCCATATTTTAAATGTTAACACAAGAAATGGATTGATGTTAATCAGCTACAGTGATGAAACTAATGAATTTCGTAGAATTTTGGGGAATTTTCACAGCTAAACTTCAGGGATATAAGGAAATAATGTTTGCGAGGCATTATTTTGGGAAATTTCAAGATCTCAGAGGTAATATTAAGAAATTTGGGTAATTTCCATGAATTTCTGGTTATTTCCGGTAATTTTGGTTATTTCGGGTAATTTTGGGGGTTTTCAAAGATTAAATTGTTTGTACATTTCATCAGAATTCCCGA